AGTTGCACATCCTTCTAGTTGCTGTATGTGGGACGCGGCCTCAGCATGGCCGGAGAAGCGGTGCGTCGGTGCGCGCCCGGGATCCAAACCCGGGCCTCCAGTAGCAGAGCACGCGCACTTAACCGCTAAGCCACGGGGCCGGCCCGCAATGCTGATTTTCTTAAGCTCAAAGTGGATTATATTTTTTTTTACTCAGAGATTTATTGAGTACCTACTCAACCTGCTGTGCCTTATGCTGTGCTAGGTGCCCATGGTGCACAGTTGTGTAAATCCCTGCCCTGAAGAAGCTTCAAAACTTTAGAAGGCAAGTTAGCTTAGGAAACCACATATTGAGGTCAGCAGTTTTAATCACTCCTGTTCTCTTTCTGAAGAATTTTTTTGTATGTGTTAAATATTTCTCCTCTTAATTTTAAATTTCATTAAAATATAGTTTGATTTTTATGTAGTAATATGTCAAAATTGCCAAATTTTGATAATGACAAGTAAATGGATCATATATAACATATCACATGTTCTAATATATTGTAAAATCCTGTAATGTTTATGGGAAGTTTTCATTGTTTTGCTAGTTTTTCTGCAAGTCTTTTTAATGTTGTTTGCCCTGAGTGAAATAAAAAATCCCATTCTCTATGTCAGTAGTGAGTGAATATGTAAATTATTTATTGCTACCAGATGTGAGGCGTTAGGTCAGTCTGGGGCTCCATTTTGTCATCTCTAAAATGTAGCTACTAGATATAGTGTAAAATCTCTTCTAACTCTTTGGTTCTAAGATACTATTTAAATTCTAAGTTTTCTTACCTACTTTATAGAATGTAGAACCAAGTGGACTATTAAATGCCTTTATAGTCACTTAACTGATTAAAATAAAAGTTGTGTCACTGTCACCGTGGCTTTGGTTCTGAGTCATAGGTGACTTATTTAGTCTTCAGCTCTAAGATAAAGGCTTTCTTCTCATCTGGGAACTAAGATAGTGGTCTCGTGGTTAGAACGAAAGACTCGAACTCACTGTGACCATGTCTAAGAGTAGAAAAACAACTGACTCATTGACCTGGAGCAGATCACACGATCTCCTTTGGGTCGTCAGTTTAACACCAGAGAGTTAAATTGATCGTGTAATACAGTCTTATTAGAAGAGCCAGGACATGAATGCATTTATATACTTAACATTGTTTTCCTTAATTGAATGTGTATGGATATCTCTTGGTTCTATCAAAAAATCTTTAATAGCAGATGCTTACTTTTACAGGAAAGCTTTGGAATGTGCAATTCTTTTTCTTCCCCTTTTTGAAAACCTTTTCTTTTTAAAATGTCACTTAAGCAGTTTTTATTTATTTATTTATTTACTTATTTTTTTTATTTTTTTATTTATTTTTGTGTGTGTGTGAGGAAGATCAGCCCTGAGCTAACATCCATGCTAATCCTCCTCTTTTTGCTGAGGAAGACCAGCTCTGAGCTAACATCTATTGCCAATCCTCCTCCTTTTTTTCCCCCCCAAAGCCCCAGTAGATAGTTATACATCACAGTTGCACATCCTTCAAGTTGCTGTAGGTGGGACGCGGCCTCAGCATGGCCGGAGAAGCGGTGCGTTGGTGCGTGCCCGGTATCCGAACCTGGGCCGCCAGCAGCGGAGCGCGCGCACTTAACCGCTAAGCCACGGGGCTGGCCCACTTAAGCAGTTTTTAAAAATTTTTTTTTAGTCTAAGCATAGACTACCTGAGAATTTGGGAGTGAGGTGGATAATTTACATGTGGGTAACGTGAGGCATTTTTTTAAATGGAAAAGACTGATGTGTATATGTTGAGGGATTGAACTAATAATAGTTATTTAGCCAACAAGTATATATTAAACCCCACTCATGAACCAGGCACTGTTCCCAGGTATGTAGTGATGAACAAGAGGAACTCATTGACCTCATACAGAACTGGCATTCTAGTGGGGAAAGCTTTATTTATTTATTTATTTTAAACTTAAAAATGTGAACTATAACATACATATAAATCAGCAGTTCCCAAAGTGAGTTTCCAGAACAGTAGCGTCAGCATTACTTGGCAACTTGTTAGAAATGCAAATTCTGGGGCCCCACTCCTAATGAACCAGAAACTCTGAGAATGGAGCCTAGCAATCTGTTTACCAAGTCCTGCAGGTGACTCTGATGCCTGCTAATGTTTCAGAACCATTGATATAGATAAATGCAGAAAAAACCTAGATGAGGAATCTTGTGCATACTGTTACAGTGGGAGAGAGAGCCTGAAGATATAGGCAAGAGAGGAAATAATTAATGAAGCAGGGCACAGAATGCATGATACCACATCTGCCCTGGAGGTACTCCATCTAGTGGAAGATAGTCATGGATAAAAGTAATACAACGCAGTGTGCTAAGGATTCCTTAGAGTACAAAGTACAGTGAAGCTGCATGTTAACAGTACATTCTCTCTGTAGGAGGTGAGGGAAGAGGGCGATTGGGGAAGGAGGAAGTGGTTAAAAGAAGAATGCAAGGAAGAATATTCTAGGCAGAGGGAGAAGCATGTTCAGAGGCACAGAAGCCTGCAAATTCTTATCCTGTTTGGGTAAGGGTGCACAATTAGAGTGTTTAGAGCATGAGGTGCAGATTATGAAGGAGTTTAGATTTTATTCTGCAGGCAGGGCTGAACCTTGACAGGAGGGTTGGTAGCTTCTCAGCTATCACACATGCCTGAGTATGAGGTGATTCCTCGTTTTCCCATGAAGCTCTGGGTCCCCTGGTACCTCTTTGACCCTCCTTTCTTCTTATGCTCTTTCCTTTGCTTTCATTGTCTCTGTCACACTGGCCTCTAGTTCCATGACCATGTCATATGGGTGTCTGCCTCAGGGCATTTGCACATGGTGTTCCCTTTCTCTGGACCATTTGCCCCCCAGTTACCCACATGGCTTGCTTCCTCACTTCCTTTACATCTTTGCTGAAATGCTGACTTCCGATGAGACCATCTCTGATCTCCCTATGTAAAACTGATCTCCGCATGGACACACTTGGCATCCTCACTTTCTGCTTTATTTTCTTCATAACATTTAATGTCGTCTGACTTTATTTATTTGGTTTATTTCCTGTCTTCACCTTTCTAGAATGTAAGCTCCACAAAGGCACAGATCTGGGCTTTGTTTTATTTACTGCTGAGTCCCCAGCCCCTAGAACAATGCCTAGCATATACCAAGTGCTCAATAAATATTTATTCAACCAGTGGATAAACACTTCTTCTGTCCAGTCATCTCACTTACTTTTAAGCTTAAAGTTGTTGTCACTTCTACTATTTACTTTTTTCCTTTCATAATTTGAAAGATTTATCCACCAAAACTGCATGTATTTTCCCATGAGATAATTAACCCTGCACTGAGTAATACGATTGCAGCCAAAAGCAAAGACGTGATGCTCGGGTTAGTCTTTGGAGTCCTTCACCTGCTGCGGGCCTGATCCTGTGCTAGCCTATGAGGGAGAGAAGAGGGGGGTAAGCTTTGGTCCCTGGCCCCAAAAAAAAAACTGTACCATTTCTTGGAAAAGACCAGACTTGAAACAGAATCATCCAAAGTATATGTCATATGTCACTATAAACTCCTGTGATAGGTCCAGAGCAGGCCCTGAAAGATGGGTAGGGTTTTGGTAAGTTGATGAAAGAAAGGGGAAGAAAGCTTTCAGCTGAGATAAAACATGAACAAAAGCACTAAGATGAGGCTTAGACAGGATGCTTGAGAATTAAAAACCTGCCTGACTCTTTATTTTGAAGATAAGATAATAAGGAAAAAATCGAGCAGGTTCGGGAAGGTCTTCTGTGCTAGTGTCTCATATAAATCATTGACTCATTCAACAAATACTTAACTGAGCTCCTGTGTGCCAGGCATTCTAATCGGTCGGGTACTTCAGGGAACAAAACAGGAAAGTTTCCTGCCTTCTTGGAGCTTACATTCTGGGGAGGGACACACATAATTACCAGTGTAGGTAACAAGTTAATTATTTCATATGTTAGAAAGGTGAAAAGTGCTGTGAAAAAAAAGGAAAAGCAGAGCAGGGAGCGGAGGATTGGGAGAGGCTGGGCTTGGGGGCAGCAGGGAACAGAAAGCTGCAGCGTTATATACGGCTAGGTCTTCACCGTGCACTGTTGGATAACTCTTTGTTGGTGATTTTGTTGAGCTTCTAATTTCTTTCCTACGTTTGACTGCATTTGCATCCCGCCTCCCTCATTTGCTAAACTAAGAATGTAGCAGTTTAAACTGAGCTTCCAAGAACTCCCTGACAATCTTGAAAGTGGAGCGATAGCAGCCTCTTTACAGGGTGGTTGTGAGGATCAAGTGATGCAAAGTGCGTGAAGTGACTAGCATAATGCAACTCACAGAAAAGGTTCTCAATAAATGTTAGTCCCCCAGCTCTAGTTTGAAAACATGCAATTCTGTGATATACATCATGGCTGGGTTCCCTTTTCACTGATTTTTTCATAACCTCTAAGTTTAAACTCTTATACTCTTATTTCCAAATATATTGGAAAAATGCAAATAAGCTGGAGGACTTGTGGGTTTACCCTAGGCTCTGTCTGCCCATGCCCATTGACGTGGTTTACACCTGGGTGAATGGCACAGATCTTGAACTACTGAAGGAACTACAGCAAGTCAGAGAGCAGATGGAGGAGGAGCAGAAAGCAATGAGGTAAGACTGATTTTTTTAAATAACAAAACAAAAAGTTGTATGAGTACAAGTAGCAGTACATTTCAGAAGGGTAAGGTGATGTTCACAATGCTGTCCAAGCAAAAATCTTCATCTCCAATTCATGCCATTACCGGATTTTGACAGTCATGAGTCCAGCCCTTGTTTCTTGATGCTTAAGGAGGATTCAGCGACTTGGGTGAGATCCTTGGCCTCTCCTCCTTAGATACCATTTTATGACGGTGGCGCTCTAGTGGTGCCTTGCTCTCCCAGGGGCTCCTCCTCAAGGTGGAGGAGCCTCCCAAAGGAACCCTAGGTTTCCCACTCACCCAACCTGAGTCCCAGCTGTGATATCATGAAATGAAGTTTTATTATGCAAAATAGCTTCACTGTAAGACCCCATTATTCCCTTGAAAAATAAAACAGGCCTTACAGACTTAACTTTTTCCATTTGATAAAGGCAGTAAAAAGTGTATTCCCTTTATGTCTTTTAATATCAAGTAATACACTATGGAACTAGAAATCTTGGTAATTTTTTTTAATAGGGAATTTTGATCATTTTATTGACTTTATCTGGGAAAGGTGCAGTGAGCTTCTGAAGAGCCTTCAGAGCTAGGGATCTGGCTGATGTAACTTCCCCTTTGATTGCTCAGGAGTATTTGCTGAGAACTTCCTTGTTCGCTTCTGTGTAAATGTTATGGGTGCACCCCGGTTGCAGGTCATTAGCTATGTTATACTGCAACACATTGTCTCTTTCTCTCCGTGTCAGAGGATATAAGACCTTCCCAGTGCATGAAAATGACTTTGACAGCCTGGTACCATGTTTTACTAGTAAAATGTAAAAGCTCATATTTTAAGTAAACTGTCGTGATTACCGTGGGAGGTACGTGATAATATTTGTTGATCATATTTCATTGAAATATAATTTATTATGCATCTTAAATGTAATGAGCATTATAGTATGCTCCTTTTTATGTATGCTCCATTACATAACCTAACCTACTGGTTAGTTCCAGTGGAGTAACCAAGAAAATCCGTGTTATAAGTTACCCCTTATTCACATTTAGGGCTAGCACTAGTCCATGCAAATGTAATGAAATATATTTGCTTTCATTAGAGAAATCCTTGGGAAAAACACAACGGAACCAACCAAGAAGAGGTAAGCATTTTGAGTTTCCTCTCAGGAATAAAAATTGAAGGATTGAAGTGAAACTTACAGGTTCTCACTTGTTTTTATTGGGTGCACATTATTTTGTATTTACCCTATTGCTCCTGTTCAATCCCTCTTCTGCTAATTTTTGACCCCCAAATTAAATGCATCCATTAGATGGGAAATTTTGCAGTGCCAAAGGCATAGTTGATTGAGAACTCTGGTTATTTGGGTGGTGGCTCGCCAAAGCTTTATCATCTCTGGATGGGTTAGGGAAGGTTTTCTTCTCTATCGTTTTCCTTAATCTGTCTTGGTGTACTGTTCTCTTGGTCCATTTAAACTCTAACTTAAACCCAGTGTTTTTATTTATAGAGTTTATATCTATCAATCATTTAATTATGTGTTCAGTATATACTTTCTTCTGTTTAAAACCTGTCATAGTTGTATGTCTTATATTTAAAGCCTTGGGAAGGGAATTTAGCCCAATGACAAGAATCAGATGTATCTATCTTGGTTCAAATCATGCCTGACTCGGACAGGTCCTTAAAACAAGACTGTCTCACTGACAAGCGGAAATCTCTGTTAACTGCCACTTCCCCACTTAACCATTAGACTTAAAATAAAAGAGTTATTCATAGAAATGAGCCTGAGGAATTTTGAGATCCAGAAGTACCTTCTGAATCATCTCCTTATGTTAATTATATGTATTTATTTATAAATATGCTACTGTTAATACTGTTATTTTTAAATGACTTTTAAATTATTTAAAGTAATGATGCAACATTACAGAAAAGTTGAGAGGAAAGTGAAAGAACAAACTCACATAATTCTGTGGCCCTCATGCAACAACTCTGATCATTTTATTATTCCCTTTTCATGCATGTTTTTATATTTATAATCTATAATCTGCAATTTTGTATCCTCCTTTTTAAATTTTATGTAATTTTAGATATTTCTATGTTGATAAGTTATCTTCATGCTTCTTAAAACTGTACTATAATGTACTAAATGTTGGGTACTTCTGTATTTTCACTATTGTAAATATTTTGTGATATTATATTTGGGTCCATGGCATTTTCTGTGTGTGGGTTTGTTTGTTTTTCCTATTTTATTTCTCTTCTACTTGGACTAGATTCCTGGAAGTAAACTACTGAGGAAGAAGCATATGTATGTTTTTACGGGTCTGAATAAGTATATATGTATATGTATACATAATCTATGTATACATATGTATATACATAATCTATGTGTATACAATCACACATCACTTAACAACGGGGTATGTACTGAGAAATGTGTCATTAGGCAATTTTGTCGTTGTGCGAACATATAGAGTGTACTTACACAAACCTAGGTGGTGTAGCCTACTACATACCCAGGCTATATGGTACTCATCTTATGGGACCACTGTTGTATACGTGATCCATCATTGACTGAAATGTCATTATGCGCATGACTGTATTACCAAATTGCTTTTCCAAAGAGGAAATGGGGAATAGCCATTTGCGGTGACACCAGCAATGTTTGAGAGGAATAGGTGTACTATACTTGCACTGGCATAGAGTTATCATTTTTTGAGGGGAGCTAATTTAGTAAACAAAGTGTAATCTTGATTGTTTTCTTTTGCATTTCTTTATTAGTGAGGTTGGACAATTTTATATACTGTTTGACTAGTCGTAGCGCCCACTTTGTGAATTCTCTCGCTGTGTCCTTTCCCCATTTGTTTATTCAGGTGATATGTTTATTCTAAGTATTTCTTATGTTTAGATAGAAATGTCTTATAAATTTATCTTAGAACCTTGTCACATTTGCTTTTGTTTTTGTTGGTGTTGTGTCATATCCAATATATTTAATTGTATTCTAATTGGAATTGGTAAAGTGTGTCTGATAAGATGATACTCTCTTAACCAGAATTTACCTACTTTCTAGTCTGCCTGATAATGGGCTTTACTGAAATTATGAATAATCTTTAAAACACTAGTAATGAAATGCTTAATTTCTTGTGCACCTTTGAGTTAGTAAATTTTGGTGGCAATCTTATTTATAGGAGTGTGAAAACTCTAGCTTTAGAGTTGCACTTGTTCAGTAATTTTATATCATACTTGCTAACCTACTAAATGTATATATTCTTGAGATAAAATTCCTTGTTCATTAAAAGATTATAATTTTTTGTAGGATACAGAAAAACACCTGGAAAGTTTAGTAGTATTAACAAGCTTTTTATGTTGATTAAGATTTCAAGAACGTAGCTGAGAGCATGTTGGTATCTCTCTGCAGTGAGCAGCAGTTGGAGTGTTTGCTGACTCACTGCATTAAGGTGCCGATGCTGGTCCTGGACCCAGCCCTGCCGGCCAACATCACCCTGAAGGACCTGCCAGCTCTTCACCCTCCTTTTCATTCTGCCAGTGACATATTCAATGTTGCAAAACCGAAAAACCCTTCCACTAATGTCTCAGTTGTTGTTTTCGACAGTACTAAGAACGGTAAGATCTTCCTGTGGGTATTTTAAAATCATGTTAACATTGGATGTTTGAATAACAAAATTCTGAATAGAGCAGAAGTGGTTCAATTTTAAAGAAATCCTTGGTAAACTGAAAGCATTAAAAGAGAAGCAACAGAGCTTCCATTGTATTTCAGCCCTAACCTCAGAAAAGGATTGGATATATTTACTCTGGGTAATACACAGGCCTTTCTGTGCTGTGGTCAGGACCTTAACCTTGGTACTCACATTTACCTCATTCTCTTGGCTCTGAGGTATTGTGGTTGCTTATTTATTTATTTTTATCATATAACTCCGCGGCAAGGTTGTTTTCTACAGTTTGGGCAGAACATCCCTGGAGCTTTCATAGTTTACATTCTGAAACATCTGGTTCTATTGTACAGTAGACTTGGCCAGATAATAGAATTAAAATTGTAATTCCTGGCATAAAACTGCAGCTGCATCCTTAGAGATCCCATCCTCCTACTTGGCCACTGAGCTGCTGAGCCCCACGCCTGCATCTCCTTCTCTAGCCTCCTGTCTCTCCTTCCTCTGCACTGAGCGTCTCTGCTTGGAGCCTCTATGTTTTCCCCTGTGTGAAGTGAAAACTGTCCTGTCCCCTTTACAACATTGAGTCCCCTTCTCAAGTTCTCATTCTTCTAATGTCATACCTCCCAGCTTAAATCTTTGGAACTATCTTCGACCTGTTCTTTCTACCTCCGTAACTAATAATTAACCTTATCCTACGACCTGCTTTCACTTTTTGCACATGACTCTTAGATTCTTACCTTTCTTACTCATCTCATTTCTTCTACACCAGAGCGAATTCCTTCACACAGCCTCCAGTAATAGACACCTAGCTGCTCTGCCTACCTGTAAAGTTCTTTTCCAGTCTGTCCAGCACACAACAGTAAACAAATCGGAAAACTCTGATTTTCTTGGTTCACCCTCCCCCCTTTTTTTTTTGATGAGGAAGATTGGCCTTGAGCCAACGTCTGTTGTCAGTGTTCCTCTTTTTTTGCTGAGGAAGATTGGCTCTGAGCTAACATCTTTGCCCATCTTCCTCTATTTTGTATGTGGGATGACGCCACAGCATGGCTTGACAAGTGGTGTGTCAGTCCGTGCCTGGGATTCGAACCTCTGAAGCCTGGGCCACAGAACCCAGAGTGCGTGAACTTAAACACTACGCCACTGGGCCAGCCCCCCAGTTCACTCCCTTTTTGAGGAGAAGAATATAGTAGTATATGTTTGTTTTTCGCATACATACAAACTCCCCTTCCTGGTGTTTAGGATTCAGCTTTAATTGCCCACATGCCTGCCCTCCTTGCATCTCCTCAAGGCTGTCAGTGTCTTCACACATATGTGGTGCTGCCCCTCCCGTTCCTCTTCCTCTCCCAGCCCTTCTCCTGTGCTTTCCAACCCCATCTCAGGTTCTGTCTCCATGAGGATCCCAGACTAGTACATTCACAAAGATTTTATCTATTGTTACATTTCTACATCCCTGTAGTACTTGTAGCTTAGTTCACAACTTAGTTTTTGATTGCACAGGAGTTTATGGTGTTCTCATCTAATTCCTTCATTGAGCAGAAACCGTACCACTCACCAGTTTGTGTCCTGGACAGTGTCTAACATAGTCCTCACTTCCTGGTACTTAATAAGTTATTTGTAATTTGAAAGGAAATTGTAACTTTCCAAGTACATATATCTCTCTCTTTATACTATAGATCTGTCTCTGAACTATTTTGTATAAGTGACTTATGTTTTTCTCTTTGTTATATTTTAAATATATAGGGAAAATAAAGGGATAATCTCTGATAAATTATAACAAATTATCTGATTTATTTTTTTGGCTAAATTTAGCTTTGTTTGTTTTTAAAATTAGAGTTTCCTTAAATTAAGGTACTCTGATAACATTTTACCTGAAGAGAAAAAGGCATGACATTATGTTAATAATTACAGTATAACTCAGATATAACATCTATGGAGAGAATGTTGGATTTCCCTCTACTAATTTTGTAACATAGCAAAGACTACAAGATTGTAAATTTTGATATAAATAAAATCTATATTAAACTATAGTCTTCTAAACACTATTTTTGAATTCCACTTGAGTTTCTATTTGACTGTCCTATTTCCTAATTCATTCATTCAGTAAAGATTTGTGGAGCCACTGCTCTGAGTGGGTGGTGGTTCTAGGTAACAGAGAAACAGCAGACAACAAAAAAGACACATTCCTGCCTTTTGGAGCTTATGTTTCTAGTGGGCCACAAATTCTCTATCATCCTCAATTATCTAGGTCAGGGATTGCCAAATTCTTTCTTCAAGGACCAGAGAATAAATATTTTAGGCTTTGTGGGCCAAGAGGCAAAATGGTGGATATTATATAAGTATTTATATATGCATTTAACATTTAACCATTTTAAAGTGGCAAAACTGTTCTTAGCTTGGACTGTACTAAAACAGGCAGTGGCTAGATTTTGGCTGTGGACTGCCAATCCGTCTAGATTTAAGAATTTGTAGCCATAGGGCCGGCCCCGTGGCTTAGCGGTTAAGTGCGTGCGCTCCGCTGCTGGCGGCCCGGTTTGGATCCCGGGCGGGCACCTACGCACCGCTTCTCCGGCCATGCTGAGGCCGGGTCCCACATACAGCAAGTAGAAGGATGTGCAGCTATGACATACAACTATCTACTGGGGCTTTGGGGGAAAAAATAAATAAATAAAATTATAAAAAAAAAGAAAAAGAATTTGTAGCTATATTTGACATTTCGTTTATCTCATTTAACCTCTTCCCAGTTAATCGTCAAGATCTGTTGACTTTTTTCCCTTCTGATTGGTGTCATTTTTGCCTCTCTTCTGATTACCCTACCCCGTCACTTGTGCCCTAGACACTACTGATTGGACAGGACTTCAACAGTCACATGATCCAGCCCTGTGGCTGGGCCTGGATCTCCTCCGCAAAGTGGTTTTTCCCGTCAAGCTTATCCCCTTTGTTGTATAGGAAATGAATCTCTTCCTGTGACAGTTCATTTTACCTCTGGACCACGTTGACTTTTACAAGGAATTACAGAGTGCTTTCTCACGTTGGTTAATTGTGTATCCCTTGAGATCCTACAGAACTAATGTAATCCCTCTCCCATGTGACATTTCTTTTCATTCTTGTTCCTTTAGCTGTCTCTTAGAGGTTTGTCTGTGTCCTAGTTTTCTCTTCTCAGAATGAGTTTTAGTTTCTGTTACTTTTAGTGTGTCATCTGGAATTGAACATTCTATTTCAGTGTGGTTCACTCTACAAAGAGAGCTGGACTGTTCTTTCAACAAGTGTTTATCGAGTGCATACTATGTGCCAGGTACCGTTTTCAGTGCTGAAGATGCAGCAGTGAACAGATGGACAGAAATTTCTTCCCTCATCAAGTTTACATCTTGGCAGAGGGAGACAGACAATAAATACAACATATAAGTAAATTGTATAGTTTGTAGATGATAAGTCCTGTAGAGAAAAATTGAGCAGGGGCAGTCGAGTGGTAGGGGCAGACCGACTGAGAAGGTGATTTTTGAGTGAAAATTTGAAGAAGGTGAGAGAGCCTTCATGAAGCTAACATGAATATATGGGGAAAGAGTGATTCAGGTAAGTGGTATAGCCAGTGCAAAGGCTCTGAGGCAGGAGTGTGTCTGGCATGTTTGAAAAAGAACAGGGAGGCCCGTGTGGCTGGAATAGAGTGAACAAGGGAGAGGGGGCAAGAGATGAGCCTAGAGAAGTAACTGGGGACCAAATGGTGTGGGTCTTGCTAGTCATGACAAGGACTTTGGCTATATAGTCACGCATTGCTTAATGACAGGGATATGTTCTAAAAAATGTGTCGCACAACGGTGAACATCATAGAGTGTACTTACACAAACCTAGGTAGTATAGCTTACTACATACCTAGGCTATATGGTACTCATGGGACCACTGTGGTATATGTGGTCCATCATTGACCAAAATGTCGTTATGTGGCACATGACAAGGAGTACGACAAGGAATCGGAGGGTTTTGAGTAGAGGAGTAATGTGATCTGACTTACGTTCCAAAAGGATCAGTCTGGCTGCTGTGGTGGGAATAGACTGAGGAGGGGCAAAAGTTACAATAATTCAGGCAAATGGGAAGGTGGCTTGGATCAGCGTGGTGTCGAGAAGTGGTTGGATTCTGGACATTTTGACGGTCCACCGAGGATCTCCTGATGGGTTGGTGTTGGGGAATATCACCTTCTTATTCTAAGCACTCTACTTCTGTTTAAAAGCACAACAGTGCAGTTGAATTTCAGTATGACCACAGCACATTGTTGACTCATACTGAACTCACTGTTGACTAAAACTCCTACGTCTTTTTAAAAAAACATTTATATGCACTAATGCTCAAATCCCTCTTTTAACTTTTGCTCATGTAGTTGGGTTTTGGTGCCAAGTTAAACATCTTAACTTTGTGGGAGATTTTATTTTGCTAGATTTGACTCATTGCTCCAAATAGTGAGAACTTTGAGGAACCCTTAGTCTGTTATCCAGGATAATAGCCTCTATCAGCTTTGTGTAAATCCACACGTTTTGCAAGCCTGCCTTCTGTATCCTCCAAAACCTGGATGGAGAGTTGAACAAGACAGAACCTATGGCAGACTTCTAAAACCTCCCTCTTCGTGATTGTGGCTTTATAATTCGCACTCTCTGGGCAGAATTGGTTATAATCCACCTAACGTGAGATCTAGCCAGTATGTCTCCGTTTTGTCCATAAAGATGACATGAGATGTTGTTAGTACGTTGCTGAGATTACATACAAATACATGTACTGCGTCTGTTAGAATTCTCTGATCAACCAGTGTAGAACCCACCATATCAATGGGGAGAAAGAGAGACAGAGACAGACAGAGGTGTGTATCTGATGGAGTTCTTCATCATGAACTCCTACTCTTAGCGCTCAGTGCATCCTTTTAAGAGAAACAGTTTATTGCGAAGGCTTGCTTTTCTCCAGTGCTCACCAACTATATATATATGTATTTTTTTGTGTGTGTGAGGAAGATCAGCTCTGAGCTAACATCCATGCTAATCCTCCTCTTTTTGCTGAGGAAGACCGGCTCTGAGCTAACATCTATTGCCAATCCTCCTCCTTTTTTCTTTCCCCCCAAAGCCCCAGGAGATAGTTGTATGTCATAGTTGCACATCCTTCTAGTTGCTGTATGTGGGACGCGGCCTCAGCATGGCCGGACAAGCAATGCGTCGGTGCGCGCCCGGGATCCGAACCCGGGCCGCCAGTAGCAGAGCGCGTGCAGTTAACCGCTAAGCCACGGGGCCGGCCCCAGCACCAACTATATTTTTATGGTGCATTTGAGACTCTTGCCCAGGATTGGCATCCATCTTGCCAGGGTACAGTTTGCAGAACCTACCTTGTATACCCATTTTGAAGATCAGAATTACAGCCTTCTGACTTCTCTTCTGTTTTCCACGATCCTTGAATGTCAGCAGCAAGCTTGCTGATCTTATTTGTCCCCATCACTTTAGAACTCTCTCTCAGTTGGGCTGTGTCATGACGTCTCATGCCCCCCGCTCCACCCCCAACTTAATCTGCCCTATTCAGCATTGTCTGATGAATCTTAGGAATTCACCGTGACTCCTAAGCTACCCTAGAATCTGCAGTAGCTGCCTGCTGTTCATCTAAATGCCACTGGCCTGGCTTTCAGTGGCTCCCTTCTGGTTACCCTTTTTTACCTAGTACTCATCACTGCCAAATATTTTGCTCTATTCAAACAATTCTTTTTTTTTTTAATTAAACATGTTGATGTTTGCTCCTGCATGTTTCTGCTGCCCGCATGAATCTCTCCTTCAGTATTGCAAAATTTAACATTTAATTGTACACTGATTTACATCGTTCCCCTTTTGTTGGACGGGTTAATTTCGTCTCCCCCAACTACCTCTTTTTGAGACCATGTATTATACTACTTGAACAGCTCCCAACAGCTTTGTACAGTGTCCTGGCAGACATTGTAGGTAAGTATTCATTAAAAATATGCTTGTTTATTGTATTCTCTATTGTAGTTGAAGATGCCTACACTGGAATGTTTAAAGGAATCAGCAAGCAGACAGTTTGGAGGGGCTACTTGGTATGTTATTTCAAATGAATTGTATTTTTGCTGTGACTAGAATAAAAGTATGAGTAATAAAGCTGTTTTACTTTGAGAGGCTTTTTACTGTTTACTTTTCCTCTAAGGCTAGCTTATAGTACGTATTAATGAATGTTGATCTGAGTGCTCTTAACATTCTTATTTTGAAACTTATAGGATGCAATAGATCTTTACTAGTTTTCTCAGCTGTGAGCTTTCACAAGCCTTATGATGAGGAGAATGAGTTGTGTTTTTCCCCCTCTTATTTTAGACCACAGATAAAGAAGTTCCTGGGTTAGTGCTAATGCAAGATTTGGCTTTCCTGAGTGGATTTCCACCGACATTCAAGGAAACAAATCAACTAAAAACAAAATTGCCAGAAAATCTTTCCTCTAAAATAAAACTGGTAAGAGCATAGAAAATAGTGCAATCAGTATAGCACATCTCATTTAATGCGTGACCCTTCTGTTGTGTTCCATTTCCTGATAGCACAGCCGGCAATCATAAGAAGCAAAGAGGGTCTCTGTTCTGCCACAGTATGTTGTCATGAAGACGGCTCTTCATTTATAGAAGATCCTCACTCCTTATTCTTAATCTGGGCAAAATTCTAAATTATTTGGTTTGTTGGTTTCCCAGACAGAAGCAGGATTCATTTGTTTGACAAATGAGCTTCTACCATGTGTCAAGTGCTGTTATAGCTTCTGAGAATACAGCAGTGGATAAAAGAGATAAGAGCCCTGACGGAACTTACAGTGTAAGGCAGTGGGAGCGTGGGAGGAGGAAGTGGGGGAGATCATACATGTAAGTACACGCAGACTCCAACCTGCACGCTTACTAAGAGCTTTCACTCGTAAAGGGAGTGCGCTTCAGATAATTGGAACATTTGATAATGTAAAACTTTCATTAATAGCTAATTGAGCCATTAACATATTTAGAATTTATACTTCTTAACTCTTCACGCTTGACCATTGATGCCATTTGATAGAGTTGACTTTGGAGGCTGCCCCGTGACATGCCTTTTTCTTAACATTTATTGTTTTCAGAGCCATTTGCCTGATTGATTTAGGGCAGCTTCCACATGGGTGTACTTTCCTTTTGACCTTATGTCAAGATGCCTGCTGTTCTGTCAGAAACATTCTAGGTTGTAAAATGTGAATGTTCTTTCTCTTAGGATAGAGGGCATAATGTTCTTAGCTCAGAATTTGTTAGGCTTTGCTTTTCTTGATTTTACAAATAAATGTTCTTTAAATTCTGCCACTGTGTTTAGCTTACCAGATTCTTCCTTCCTTCTCCTATTGATGTCAATTAACAATTTGGAGGGTGGAAGGGTAGAGATGGAGGTAGTGTTGGGGGAAGCTGCGACTGGGGGAGTTCTATTTAGTTCCTGTCTTGACCGTGTTTTTTATATCCCCTCCCTCCTCAAAGTTCCCTTTAACTTGTTTCTTTCTCCACGTAAGTGTTTCACTGTTTTAAGATACATTGTATTACCTTTGTAAATATGATGGTATTATGAATGACATTTATGTTTTCTTTTTTTCATATTTTCCTCCATAACTTTCTTTATGGTATTGGAACTATGGTAGTGCCCAGCTAGATTAGGGTTAAATTATTCCTTAATTTGCAGTTATTTTAAAATGGATACTGTATTCCTCCTTCTCCTGAGTTATTTTTAGTTCTGATTTGGGCAAATAAAACCGTGGACTAACATTCATTTCAGCCAATGTTTATTTGGCTTCTTGGCTTCTTAGCTATTAGTTCTAGAATTATAAATGCATGTGTATCTGTACTTTTGACTGTCAGCTCAAATTTCTTAGGCAGAAAGAATGACATTCTTGGTTCTATTTATATAATTCCAACTAAAATAAATTTTTAAGGAAAGAAGGTCCGTGACACTTCTCCATTCTCTGCTCAGGGTTGACTAGCCCATGTCTCTCTCTGCTGCAGCTGCTCACCAGTGCATCTGCTGGTGGATGGGTGTGTGCTGCTAAAGAATGCCACTCCAAGTAGTGGTCCATCCTTCAGCAGACTATTTTTGGGTGGCATGGAGTGGTGTACGCAGGTAGAGGCAGGGTGGGGTAGTAACTTGAATTGGACAATGAGTACCAACAGGTTCTGTGCATGATGATACCCCCTTCCACTGTTCATTCACCCAGTTAGAGATTTATTTGGATTCCCAGACTTGTCTTTGTGGTGGCCAGCGCCTCCTCAGAGGGTCAAGCTAATTATCCATAACATTCATTGCAGGTCAGTTTCATGATGCCAACACCTGTTATCAACTTCAGGGATTAGGGCTTCTGATTTTTGGAGGCTGGGGGAATATGAGAAAGAGGAAGAAGAGAAGCACTGTCAGCATTCAAGCTCAGTTGACTCTCTTTCATTAGGTTCTACTTCCTGCTTTTATTACGAGTACCCTGAAAATAGAGTGTCCTATCACTGGGTTCCTAATCCATTTAATGAGCATTTATTAAATGCCTGCTGTACGCCAGGGTCTATATACGGATAAGAATAAAAGAACTTAAATAATTTTGGGGTGTGATCACTGCCAAATAAATGTTTATACAAAGTCCTGTGAGAACTCCTGGGCTTTAGTTGTACTGGGGGCAGGGAAGGCTTTGCAGAATAGTAAACGTTTTAGCTGGGGCCCTGACCAGAGCAGCCATTTTCCCAGCAGAGAAGGGAGTGGGAAGGGAACAGGCTGAACAAAAGGCAAACGGTGTTTTCAGAGAAGCAAGGCAGCTATTCCAGGAGGCCAGAGCCTAGGCAGGGATTTTGCTGGTGCTGAGATTGGGAGGACAGGTTGAGGCCAGACTGAGAAAGACCTCCTGGAAAGAAGCCTGGACGTTACTGTGGAGGCAGGGAGCATCTTGAGGAGGAGGAGGAGGAGGAGCCGATCCATTTCTAAGAACATGGTAGGGGAAGGCGTAGCAGGTAGAGATTAGATAAGAAGAGGCTGGAGGCAGGAAAACCAGTTCAGCCACCGCTGCTATGGCCTAGCAAGACATTGGGCTTCAACAAGTGGTGAATTCAAAGCAGTGGTGCCAATGATGAGAATGGTTCCAGAAATATCTGAGAGAGAACTCAACACGACCCAGTGACTTATTAGCTGTTAGAGGAGAGGGAAGGAAAAATGAAAGGGCAAGTGGATGTTACTAGTGAAGATGGAAGTGTGATGGCATTAACCACACTCTGCTTCAACGGGAGAAGCAGGTTTTTTGGGAAGGAAACCCGGAGCTCAGTTTGGGGTGTGTTACATTAGAGGTGCTTTGTGGCATGTGGGAGGAAAGGGCCGTTAGACACTAGACTTCAGGACCTGGACTGCTGAACCATTTTGCCGCTGGAGGCACCTCCAGGAGGCCTTTGCCAAGGCCCGTGGCCTCCCAGCCACCTAGGGCTGAGTTCTGTCCCAGAGACCCTCACCAGACTGCCAGCATCTCAGGACACGTACCTACACCTCTTCACCTTCTACCCCAGTGGTTGCCTTGGGGCCTGGCACTTGGGGGTGCTGCTGGAGAAATGTTTGTTGAAGGAATGAGCAAGAAGAAAAGCTGTGACTAAACACACCCACCATATACAATGTCCTGGAATATAAAGGGAAACATTTCAGCAATGCGATTATTCAAAGGAGGAGTCATTGAGGTTTTTTTTTTTTTTTTTTTGCTGAGGAAGATTCGCCTTGAGCTAACATCTGTGCCAATCTTCCTCTATTTTATATGTGGGTCGCCACCACAGCATGACTGCCAACGAGTGGTTAGGTCCGTGCCCGGGAACTGAATCTGGGCCTCTGAAGTGGAATGTGCTGAACTTAACCGCTAGACCACGGGCAGGGCCCCTCATTAGGGTTTTGATACCATGGTTGTGCACATACAACAACTTTGCCTTTATCATTCTGTTTAGAGCAAACCCAGAATCCCCACCCCCAGCCACAGGAGGGAAGGTGGGCCTTGAAAATGGTTTCATTTGCAAGATAATAGATATGAATTCTTTTTGTGTTTGTGTGTGTGTGTGTGTGTGTGTGTGTGTGTGTGTGAGAGGAAGATCAGCCCTGAGCCAACATCCATGCTAATCCTCCTTTTTGCTGAGAAAGACCCGGCTCTGGGCTAACATCTATTGCCAATCCTCCTCCTTCTTTTTCCCCAAAGCCCCAGTAGATAGTTGTATGTCATAGTTGCACATCCTTCTAGTTGCTGTATGTGGGACGTGGCCTCAGCATGGCAGGAGAAGCAGTGCGTCGATGTGCGCCCGGGATCCAAACCCCAGGCCGCCAGTATCGGAGCGCACGCACTTAACCGCTAAGCCACGGTGCCGGCCCTAGATATGAATTCTTGAAATCTTTTCTGTGAGCTGTAGTCTTACAAATCAAACAATCTTTTCTATTAAAAGCTTTCTAGTTTGAGAGACCTTGAGGTGAGTCCTTTATGATCTGATTAATTACCCTCTATTTTATCTGTAGAATTTTTGTATGTGATGGACACAGAATTCAACTTTTGAGAAATCAGATGATCCATGGTCTTGATTTTTAGCTCGCTCTAAATCATTCTGTGTTTTTAAACTTTTTTGTTCATGGTAAGTTTTTCGTTTGTTTCATGATTGTTATTTTTGTTCACATCTTCTTTAACATATGTCAGAGCAGGTGGAAAATCTTCCCAAAGCTCTCAAGTGCGTTCTCACATTTGGGTTAATTCAGTGATAGTGGTTGCTGAGTGGGTGTGCAAAAGAAGTGGAGAACACAGACTCGTCCTCAAGCTGCTTATAATGTGGTTTGGAAGCAGGGTGTGTGCATAAGATGTATTCAAGTAGCGAAACCAAGATTGTTTAAGATTAGCTATTGAAGAGAGTAGTACAAACTTCAGGTTGGTGTTTAGAGACAGGAGAGGTTGTGGACTAGAGACTTGGGGAAAGTTTACACAAAGAGGCCGCAGGAGATCCTTGAAGGCTGACCAGGTCATTTGTTTCAGCAAGAAGGACAGTGCGGGCAGGGTGGGAACAGCACGTTGTCCTACCTGGACTCTCTCCGCCTCAAACGTCTGTTCAGGGCACGTTCAAGGCCACAGTAAATTGTAGTATGTAATATTGTACTAATGCCCCTTCTTTTAGTGACTTCTCTGAAACCATTTTATGCACCTGCTCTTTTAAAGCATGGCACCCTTTCTTTAGGTTTTATTGCTAAAATTAGCACTTCAGTAGATTAAACAAGCAACTCTGGAACTGATTTAAGTTTTAGAAATCCACCAGGACATGTTAAGACCTAGTCCCCTTGAGTTGTCAAACCACTGGAAGGAGCTAATTTGTTTTTCAGTTGTATTAGCTGGCCTGTTTTTTCCTAACCTCAGACTACCCAATGGAGGTGTATCAATCGCATCATTCTAGATAACAAAACAGTAACAAACATCCTGAAATCTCAGTGTCTTAAAAATAGCAAAGCTTTATTTCTCAGTCATGTTACATGTCTGTTGTGGGTCTGCAGGGGGTGGGTGTAGAGGTTCTTCTCTCTTTGAGAAATTTATAATTTAAAGTATTTAGATAAACTTATAATTTCTAGTAAGAAGCTGTATATGGAGGCAGTTACCCACAGTCAACTGGTCTTGATTTTCAGCTCGTACCCAAGCTAGGAACTCCAGCCTTAGGCACTTACATACCACCACTTTTCCTTACCACCTCCTGTCTCTTCCTTTTGGCAAAAGTAATTAAGGTGTCCAGGATCGGGGTGCCATCTAGTGGCCAGCAGAGGGTACTTCCTCCCCACCCTTTTCACCACTCACAACTGTTACAGCAACAGAAAATCTTTTTCAAACATAAATATTCCCTTAAGCTCTTTACTTTTCATCTCTCTTCCAATTATTGTACAGTTACCTTAGGAAAATGTCTTTGAAATTTTAAAATAGTTTTTCAGAATAAAGGCAGTTTGGATAGAAGAGATTAAGATAAAGATATTTTCCCAATAAACTTTAAATTAAATTAGAATATTAAAGTACTGCATTTACTTATTCTAGATTAGTGATTTTTGCACTCAAGGGAGCCCTCAGAGGTGCTGTGGGAGCCACTGTGGGATGGTGGGAAGGGGCAGGGGAGGCTGGGGGTGAGCAGTGAGACTTTGTAGGTACCCAGATAGAAGGATGTTTGCCTGCATGGCCTGCCTCCCATTTGCCCCACACACCCAGGCAGGATGGTGACAGCAGTGGGAACTGACCTTCAGTGAGTGCCCAGTATATGCCAGGCACTGTCAAGGTGAAAGAAAGTAGTCAGTCAGGAAGACAGTACACACGTGTGCATGTACACACACATACAGCCACACACAGTTTGTAATAAGAGTTAATGGCCTACATCATAAAAAGAGGAAAAGATATAAATGAAATTCTCACTCTAACCTCTAAGTTTTGGCCTACATAAGCTCAGGAAGCTTTGAAAGATGAGCTAAATATAGTCATGTAGTGTATACAAGGGCTCAGCACGAGCCCATGATAATTTACGTTTGCTCTGTTTTATAAATTAAAAAGGAAACTAGCTCTATTAGAAGAGCCAGTTCAGCAGAAGAATTTTGCTGTCCTAGGTTAGTGGTTTTCAATCCTCCCCATTTTTTTAAGCTTTGAAAGCCTTTTTTCATGGGAAACTGCATGATGCGGAGTTAGACGTTAAACAGGTGAAGGGTGATGTGGGCTCTGGTAGAGGTGGGGAAGCGTGTTTGTAAAATGTGTTGATGTTTATGACGTTCCCTCTTAGATTTATGATTGCTTTGAAAGCTTTGCCCCAAAAGGTGGTTTTCTTGTGGAAGCACTTCAAGCATCTTTGCCAAAGACATTCCTCTTAGGTGTGGGGCACAGAAGCTGCTCAGACACCCTGCTGGCAAACGTGCTTTCCACCAATCCCAGCAAAGTTACATTGCAGGGTTTTTCCCCAGTATAAGCAGATTGGTAATATTCTAGAACAAAGGTACAAACTGGTGACCAGATGTGTTTTGTGTGAATACATGACAGTCAAAAATGTTTGAGCCAACGTTGAAAATTGGGAGATTCTGGCTTGGGGATTCTGGCTTCTCAGGGGATCTGGCGGTAACCTGTCGATATTGAGGAGCGGCTGCAGCTTCCAGACAGGGCCTGTGCTATTATAATATAGTACTATCATACAGTACTATATAATACTGTATACGGTATATAGTATATGTATAATATATAAAGATTAAAGATCAAATTGGGAATTTAAAGGTGTCTCTTCCTTGAGGCTCGGTTTTTCCACATGTAACCCTCTTGTTATTTTATAGTTGCAGTTGTATTCGGAGGCCAGTGTAGCCCTTCTAAAATTGAATAACCCCAAAGATTTCCAAGAACTGAATAAGCAGACGAAGAAGAACATGACCATTGATGGAAAAGAACTGACCATAAGTCCTGCGTTTTTGTTATGGGATCTGAGTGCCATCAGCCAGGTGAGGGATGCAGAGATTCTTTTAAAACCTGAATCGAGGGTTTAGGTTGTTAAAGATTTGTAACTGTATTAGAAGAAGGAAGAGGACTTACAGAGAGGTGAGTTGAATGGAACTTTTCTAATTTTTCAGTCACTGCCATTGGTTAATATTAGTTGAAGTGACCTAGAATCAGGTCTAAGAACCTTTTCTAAAAAGTGTGGTAAAGGAATGCTGTGTATTTATGTTGTTGTTATTGTTGTTGTTCTAAATATGCTGAGTCTTGCATTTTTTGTAATGTTTAAAAGTAGGACTCAGTCTTTACAACTCTGCCAGAGCATCCTGAGAGCAGAGAAGGCAGGGGACAGATGGGAGAAGGAAGTGTGATTTAAGGGGTATTTTGCGTTTTCATGTCCAAATGTTTTGCTCAGTCTAAGCAGGATGAAGACGTTTCTGCCAGCCGTTTTGAAGATAATGAAGAGCTGAGATACTCACTGCGATCTATTGAGAGGCATGCGCCGTGGGTTCGGAATATTTTCATCGTCACCAACGGGCAGATTCCATCCTGGCTGAACCTTGATAATCCTCGAGTGACAATAGTAACACATCAGGTAGACGACTTGCTATATATCACATGCTGTGGTTTCCTTTTCTGTTTCTTTCTGTTCTTTTACTTATCGTTAATTTCATTCCCCTTACCCTCCTCACCTCCATTTCCACCTTCCTTTCTTCCTGCCAAAAACAAAAGCAAAACAAAAAAACTCTCATCCACCCTCTTTTTTTCTTATTTTTTTCTGTTCAAAGGATATTTTTCGAAATTTGAGCCACTTGCCTACCTTTAGTTCACCTGCTATTGAAAGTCACATTCATCGCATCGAAGGGCTGTCCCAGAAGTTTATTTATCTGAATGATGATGTCATGTTTGGAAAGGATGTCTGGCCAGATGATTTTTACAGTCACTCCAAAGGTCAGAAGGTGAGTACCGGAGAGGAAGGGCTGGCTAGCTTGGTAGTCACTTAGAAGTTATAAACGGGGTGGGGTCGGCCTTGTGGCCTAGCGGTTAAGTGCACGCGCTCTGTTGCTGGCAGCCTGGGTTCCGATCCCGGGCACGCACCGATGCATCGCTTGTCAGGCCATGCTGTGGCGGCGTCCCATATAAAGTGGAGGAAGATAGGCACAGATGTTAGCCCAGGGCCAGTCTTCCTCAGCAAAAAGAGGAGGATTGGCATGGATGTTAGTGCAGGGCTGATCTTCCTCACACACACACAAAAATAATAAAAAAAAAAGAAGTTATAAATGGGAAATCAGGAATCAGCGTATACACTACTATATTCAAATTTGATCAAATAAGCATTTTTGAGTGCTAAGCTCAAGAGAGTTAACGATTAGGTAGTGAGAAAACTACTCCCTAGTAGTTTCTTGCTTCCTTACATTCTCAGACACCCAGAACTCTCTCTTTCTAAAATTTTCTACAACAGCAGCAGAAAAAGCAAAATCACTATGAAACACAAAGTTGTGGTTATGATGACAGCAAAATGACCAAGACAGAAAGTTAGCTCAATTTTCTGCTTAAAGACATGAACGAAACTTGGTTGAAGGCAGCTGGTCTCATTCTGGCTTTGAGAGGCAGGTTGGAGAAGTGGTTATGAGCACAGACCGGGAACCAACTGTGTGGGATGGTCCCAGGTAATGACTTGACCTCTGTGTTTCCTGTCTGCATAGTGGGGTGAATAGGAATACCCCTGTAGCATTGTTAGAAGGCTTCATTGATAAGGTGGAGACTTACCACTGTACCTTATAAGTTATACAACTCTGTAGCTACTTTTTCTGTTGCTGTTTATGCCACCCCAGTGTGCTCATTCCCCTGTTAGTTGCCTCCCCTGTTTTAGATTATAGAGCTGTGGCTCGACAGGGGAGACACACAAAATCAGTGACTATGTACAATGATTTCTGTGCCGGCAGGTGGCCCGGGGTACTAAGGAGTGGGAGCCCAGGAGGATGAAATCAGACAGGGAGAGGAAAGAATTCCCATCTGAATTGAAGTGAACTTTGAAGAATAAGTAAGACTTAATTAGATGAAGAAAGACACTCCAGATAGATGGAATGTGCAAGGGCATGGAGACTTTAAAAGGGGAGTGTATTTTTTAAGAATGATTTTAATTTAAAAAGTAACTATGTACCATATCACTCATTTTGAAATCAGGCAAGTTCACAACTCAGATTGCTGAGCTGATTAACTTATCATAGGGCCTTATATGTGGAGATAAGGATATTCATCTTATCTAAGATAAGATAGGGAGTTCATCTGCTGATTTCCTCAGCCTTAAGACAAGATTATGCATAAAGACACTCAGGAGTTAATGGCAGTTGTCACAGAAAACCAGTGAGTTGTGTGGTATCCCTTCCACCTGTATACTTTTATACTTGCATTTAAGTCTGGTGTGTTGCTCTTTTATTTCAAAAGAGATTATAAAGCCATGTTGTGAGAAACTAATCCAGGAGTTGAGTCCTTGTCTGCTTTCCTCAAGTAGTGGAAAAGGGTACATGTGCTCAGTAAGAGTCGTCAGCAGAGCAGGACTTAGGAAACTACTACACGTGTAGCAAACTGAAAGAGATCTATGCCAGTGACTGCAGACAGCCTGGGGAAAATGTTACCCTTTTAGAGGCTCAATTTTTTTTTAAAGGAATCCTAATTTGAGAGTAAAAAGTGTCAGAAACCAGAGACCATTTTATTTTCTTTCTGATTTTATCACAGGTTTATTTGACTTGGCCTGTGCCAAACTGTGCTGAGGGCTGCCCGGGTTCCTGGATTAAAGACGGCTATTGTGACAAGGCTTGTAATAATTCCGCCTGTGACTGGGATGGTGGGGATTGCTCTGGTAAGGATATGTTCAGATGTAATTTGTTCATGTTTACGGAATTTTTTTCATTTTTCATTTTTACCGAACATGTGCAGTGACTTAATTAAACATTTTTCAGGTATTAAAATAATCAGCAATCCATAGACTCTTTGGAGGTGATGACTCGTGTCCCAGTGTGGCCCAGTTTATTCATATTATCCGTTGTTGAGGGCATTTTCCCATGTTGGCCCTGTGCTTGACAGTGCCTTTTCTTATTATTTAAAATATGATAATCAGGAATACCCTTAATTATGTAAGCTCAAGAGCAAGAATCTCTCTAAACTGGTTCTTATAGGAGCTCATGGCTGGTGACTTTCAGTAGTAGGTTGCTATAGGTCAGAGAGTGACTGCAAAAAAAATACATCTCCTTGGCATCTCTTCTCCCTTTCTTACAGGCTTATATTTGGACTTGTTGATAATAAGTTTTTACATTTATTTATTGCCTTTCAGTTTATAAAGCATTTAAATTTATAAAGCATTATCTATTATCCACTTGAATTTCTTAGTCACCTAAGAAAGAGAGAGTGTGTGCACAGATATTATTATCCCCATATTCCATATGAGGAAACAGATTTGGAAAAGTGTGGAATATTGGAGGAAACAAAGCTTCAAGTTGTGTTTGAGTCAGATCTGTCAGATGCACTTTTGAAAAATATAAGCAGCTGCAGGGAGAGAACACAGATGTGTAGAGTGATCTGTGCAGTCCAGAGAACTCAGCCCCTGATAGAACACGAATGTTTGATATAGAGGTTAGCACCCTTATTAGGACTTGTTTTTTGCAGTTCTCACAGTCACAGTCTTCAGACTAACCTCTTCCCGTTTTCTTGCTCCTCTGTACACATCTACACATGCCCCCTTGACCAAATTTGAGGTCTGTACAGTTAGTGCCAAGGCCTGGTCACCCCATGCCCAGTCCACTGTCAAGTGATGCCCCCTTTTGATTTTGTTTTCTTCTTAAGCTACGTGAGATCTTGTACTAAAGAATGGGGTGCACCTTTTCTGACTGAAATTCACACATCCATCTTGAAAACACTATTAAGAAATAAGGAAGTGTCTTTTTTTTAAGATGATAAGCACAGCAAGATTCTGTTCTCCTCCTCCCTCTACAGGTAACAGTGGAGGGAGTCGCTATGTTGCAGGAGGCGGGGGTACCGGGAGTATTGGAGTCGGACAGCCCTGGCAGTTCGGTGGAGGGATAAACAGTGTCTCTTACTGTAATCAAGGATGTGCGAATTCCTGGCTCGCTGATAAGTTCTGTGACCAAGCCTGCAATGTCTTGTCCTGTGGGTTTGATGCTGGTGACTGTGGGCAAGGTATATTTATTGCCATAAAAACATATTAAGAATAAGGGGATAAAAATCCTTGATAAGTAGAGAGGGTTTTGGATCATTGTTGTTATTTAAAGTAAGTATTCTCTGTGTATCCCTTTCCCAGCCTTGCGTCCAAGCTAAGTGTAAGGTAAAAGTAAGAGGAGGACACAAATCTTTATGAAACAGTAGACACTAACAGTAGACAGCTTTTCTTGTTACTGTTTCAGTCTTATTTGTTTTACTAAGCAGATTTACCTTAGTTGAAAATATATGGTAAAGGTTTAATTTGGAAACAATAAAAGACCAATAATTCATTAAATAAGGATGGTTTGAATACTGGATCTTGTTGATAGCATATTAATGGAGATCATTTTGGCAGAAAGTTGTATTTTTTCAAATGGACAAAACAGTGGAAGTCCATCATTGGAATTTGCTGTCAAGAATTGTGCCATATGTCTGTAGTAAGTCAGAGTCAGCATTCCATGTTGATAATAGTGATTGCTTCAGATAGTAAAATGAACCCCATCGCAGTAGCTCTTGTGTTAGAATTTCTGATTATTTTGAAGTCAATTTAAAGTCACTCTTAGCAAGTGAAAACTCAAACCCTAAGAATTAAAGGAAAAGGGGAGAAAATGCCTAGTTTTTTAAAAATCATGTTTGTGTTTTTTCCTCTAGATCATTTTCATGAATTGTATAAAGTAACTCTTCTCCCAAACCAGACTCACTATGTTATTCCAAAAGGTGAATGCCTGCCTTATTTCAGCTTTGCAGAAATAGCCAAAAGAGGAGTCGAAGGCGCCTATAGTGACAACCCAATAATTCGACATGCTTCTATTGCCAATAAGTGGAAAACCATCCATCTCATAATGCACAGTGGAATGAATGCAACCACAATACATTTTAATCTCACCTTTCAAAAGACAAATGATGAAGAGTTCAAAATCCAGATAACAGTAGAGGTGGACACAAGAGAGGAACCAAAACTGAATTCTACGACCCAGAAGTCTTACCAAAATTTGGTTAGCCCTGTAACACTTCTTCCAGAGGTAGAAATCCTGTTTGAGGATATTCCTGAAGAAAAACGCTTCCCAAAGTTTAAGAGACGTGATGTTAACACAACAGGGAGATTCCAAGAGGAGGTGAAAATTCCCCTGGTAAATGTTTCACTCCTCCCAAAAGAGGCACAGTTGAGTCTCAATAACTTGGATTTGCAACTAGAACATGGAGACATCACTGTGAAAGGATACAACCTGTCCAAGTCAGCCTTGCTGAGGTCGTTTCTGATGAAAGTACAGGATGCCGATGTAAAAATAAGTCAAGCTGTAATAACAGATGAAAGAAATGATAGTTTGGAGGCCCCCCCAGAAAAACAGATTCACAAAAACATCTTGCCAGACAGCTTAGGACCATCTGAAAGATTACAGCGGTCGACTTTTCCAGCAGTGACAATAAAAGTGACTGGCCACTACGAGAGTCAGAGTCCACCCACAGACTTGGAAACCAAAGCAAAATTGAGATCTGAAACTCCGACCCAGAAAGTGGGAGGTGGAAGTGTGTCAAAAGAAAAGCTCTTATCTCTGATTGTTCCACTGGAAAACCATGTGTCAGAAGAAAAGAAAGTCACAGGGAAAGAACAAGAGAAAAACAGAATGGAGGAAAATGCTAAAAATGACATAGGTGTTAATGAAGTATTACCTGGAAGAAAACTGCAACATTACACAGAGAGTTACCTGGGCTTTTTGCCATGGGAGAAAAAAAAGTATTTCCAAGATCTTCTTGATGTAAGTTACATCCAGCCTGTTCCTTCCCACGCTCAGGAAAACTAACTTTCTAAGTGATAATAATATAATAATAGCTACCGTTTATTCAGCACTTCCCTGTGCCAGCCACTGAACTAAATGCTTTTCTCACATGGTTTCATTTAATTGTCCCAATAACCCTAATAATAAAAATACTTTATAAGGGTATGGACTATCGTTATCCCATTTTGCAGTTTAGGAAACAGCCTTAGTGTGAATGAGCAAGGGGTTCAGCCAGGGGCTACCCCAAGAAGTAATAGAACTGAGATGGTGTCTTATCATTTCTTGGCATGTTGAGATTTCAAAAAATGCTTTTGCAAAGACTGTGTGAGGCAGATCTGATGTTTTCCACCTTTACTGATTAAAAACGAGGTGCAGATAAGTTTGTTAGCTTCCCCAACTTCACAACAGCAAAGCAGTGTGAGCCAAGCCTCAAAGCTGGGGTGGTCTCCCTCTAGTACCTTGGCCCCCGTGGTGCCATGGTGTCATTTGTACTTCTCCCAAGTGCTGTCACTGGGCTAAGTGCTGGGGAATGCAAGAGGATTAGAACGCAGTTGCTGCTTGTGGAGACTCAGAGAGCAAGGTGGGCGGACAGACTTGTGGGCAAATAATTGTAGCAATGTGATGAGTGTCTGTTAAGGTGTGGACAAGGAGTCCAAAGGGAAGATTTCTTACCTCTGCCTAGAGGTATTGGGGAAGGCATCCAGAGGAGGTGCCCTGTGAGCTGACCTTTTGAAGGGTGGGAGTTAACAGACCAAGAAAAATCCTGTGGTCTAGCCTGGATAGTGAAGAAAGCATGGCCATGAGTGGGTGTTAGCCTTAGGGGGAAGGAGAATGAGGTGGAGAACTAGGTCTTATTTCTCTCATTGTTTTTGGGAAGTGTCTGGTACCTGGCCATTAGACATTTACTAATTGTTGAGTGAAGGACTGCCGAGTTCTTGCCTAGGTTTATTTCCTCACTTTCCCCCCTTTTCTTTCCTTTTTTTTTTTTTTTAAATTACAGGAACACTGTAGCTAGTGGCAAAAATTGCAAGCAATGCAAAAAATAAATATATATATAGTATACAAGAGAAAGGTCTCTCTCCTTCCTTCCTTAATCTCCCTACTTGAGATAATCGCTATGAATAGTTTGCTGGGTATCCTTCCAGTATTTTTTTATAGATATGCAAACATATAAATGATCTAGTTTCTGTTTTGCAACAGTGAAATTACACGGTACATAAATCGCTTTGAGTTGCCCTTTGATTTAGTAGTATGTGGGCAAAGTGCCCTGGTCAGTGCCATTGTTCTTAGGAGCTGCAAGTTATTGCCAGTGTTTTGCCATTACAAATATATAGTGTTGCAATAAATATTCGTGTACATATATCTTACTCTTGAGGAAGTTTTTATTTCTGTAGGTAGAATTGCCAGGTTAAAGGGTCTGGTGCATATAAAATTTAGATACGTCCTTCTAAAATGTTGCACCACTTCATACTTTCACAAACAGCATACAAGACTGCTTATTTCTCCACAGACTAACCGGCACCAGTTATTATCAGTCTCTTTAATTTTCGTCAGTTTGAGAAGCAAAAATATTTCATCTTTTGTAAAGTGTGTTCGTATTGTTTGCCCATTCATTCAGTTGTGCCTCTTATTGGTTTTGAGAGTTTGTTACATTTTATAATATTAACACTATTCTATGGGGAAACCAATTTTGTATTCTAGTCATTCTGTTCAAAACTCAAGTACTTACTGCTTTGACGTCACCAATAGAAACAGCTTCATATTGAAAGTATTATCAAATTTATTTGTAAATAAATTTTCTAAATGTTGCATTGAATTGACTATGAAATCTCATGGTCAGTGACTAGTCCTTGAAGAATACCCTGTAAATAGACCTCCATCCCTCAACTATTGTTCTCAAGCCAGTGTTGATGAGACTTTCACAGAGATCCAGTTTAGTCCTGCTCTTAGGATCCTTAAAGTGACCCGTTAGTGCTCATTTTATTTGCTCCTCATGGACAGTTAGTGACTCTTATTAGTTAGGGACAGTTATTACCACATTATGTAAAATTGTACCTTTATCTCTTATTAACGAAGTACCCAGTGCGCAAGACATAATGCTATATGTTCAGTGGAATTCTCCTTTCAGGAAGAAGAGTCATTAAAGACGCAATTGGTATACTTTACTGACAGCAAACGTACTGGGAGGCAACTAAAAGATACGTTTGCAGATTCCCTCCGATATGTAAATAAAATTCTAAATAGCAAGTTTGGATTCACATCTCGGAAAGTCCCGGCACACATGCCTCACATGATCGACCGAATAGTTATGCAAGAACTACAAGATATGTAAGTTTCACTCATGTATGAGTTGCCTGCATATGCTCAGAGCTAAAGCTGCTTGAAATTTACATCTTTGCTGTGCTAAACTTATGATGGTTCTACTGCTTGATGACTGATATGTTGAAGATATCATCTCAATAAGTGGGAAGGAAAAAGATTTTAACTCTACTAATGTTAGGTACTGTATATATTTTGAATATCCAGAACTCATTATGTGTTACATTTGGACAGGTTCCCTGAAGAATTTGACAAGACGTCATTTCACAAAGTGCGCCATTCTGAAGATATGCAGTTTGCCTTCTCTTATTTTTATTATCTCATGAGTGCGGTTCAGCCACTGAATATATCTCAAGTTTTTGATGAAGTTGATACAGACCGATCTGGTGTCTTATCTGACAGAGAAATCCGAACACTGGCTACCAGAATTCATGACCTGCCTTTAAGTTTGCAGGTGTTGTATTCTTTGTTTTTTTTTTTTTTTCCTGAACTTTGTGACATTTTAAATGAAACTTTTAATTTTGGTACTTTCTCTTTCTCCTCCTCCATATTGCAATATAATGCAAGTAAAAGTAATTCTTAATATTTAATGAGGTTGTTTGCAACTAGCCCATTTTTAGTGCCAGAATTAAAACCAAACTTGAAGTTCATATTTTATGAGATTACTTTTTTTAGACTTTCAGTAGGGGTTGCTGTTGTATTATCTGGAGAAGAGCCAGGCCATACCTGCAGATAAGATTCTTGTGACAGGTTCATTCAGGGGCTTCAGGTATGGCCGACTGGAGATCTCAGCCAGGCCCAGGGTGCTACACAGCCCTCTCCATCATGGCATTCTCGAGTCCCAAGAGTAGGAAACCCACCAACAAGTGCTCAGATGAATCTAGCTGTGGGGTATCCCGTCTGGTGATCCCCTGGACCATCTTATGTAAAATGGTGTCTCACAGTCTAGTCATGTTCTACTTTGAGAGGAAGATGAAGTATTTGTATTTGTATTGTCTCATTCTGCTCTTTTTAGGGTGTCTTTATCTTAAGAATCACATAGTCGAACTCTCTTCGAAGATGGCATTTAAACAAATTTTGGAGAGTTTTACATAATTTTTAATTTTAAAACCACAGTTGTTATTTGTAATGTACATAGTAGGTTTATCCTTTTGTTTTGCTTTGTTAGGATTTAACAGGTCTGGAACACATGTTAATAAATTGCTCGAAAATGCTTCCTGCTAATATCACTCAGCTAAACAACATTGCACCAACTCAGGAAGCGTACTATGATCCCAATCTGGTAAGTGGTGTGGGTTCTTTTATGTAAAACAGAAAGCATATCTTTATCAGGTGTTATTTACACCATTTTTATATAGCACTTCAAAAACTGGAAGCAGGCTCTGTGTTTGTGTGTCTTTGGTGGAAAGTAGTAGCACAGATAATCCAAAATCATTTATATCGTTTATAACTTACTTTGGAATGTATTTTTTCTCCCTAATGGATGTTACACTAATATTGAGATTAGTTGCTTATATTCTGTAAGCAGACATCCTGTTCACCAAGGATGGCAGAACATAGCCCAAAGCATTCTCGCTGGCCTGGGAGAACAATCCTGAGGTTAAACATTAACCAAGGAAATATTCATCAGACGGAATACCATCTTCCATCAAAGCTAAGTTGCTTTGGTGGTAAGAACCAGTAGGGGCAGTGGATGATTCACACACAGCTATATTGGAGTGTCATTTGACTGAAGTGATTGGAGACTCTGTTGATTGTAAGATGCATCCCAGTTTCAGAAAAGTGATAATGTGAAGAAAAAATATGTATTTGGAATTGATGAACAAGGGTACAATATAGCCATTAATGTTATGCTTACAGTCAATTTTTACTGATATTTGGAAAAATGTTTACAAAATAAAATTAGGTGGGGAAAAATAGGTAGTACCATATACATAGTATGATTTGAACCGTAGAAAACTCCCAAATACCTTCACACACATACATACACACGCACACACACACATACACTCCCCAAAAAGTAATGGTGGTGACAATAGGTTAAATCATAGGTAGTTTTTAATTTCCTTTTTCATACTAGTATTTTCCATGTTTTCTATAATGAATAGCTTTTACTTTCATAATTAGAATAAAATTATTTTAAAAAATTTACTGTCATGCAAATGTTCAAGCCATATGTAAATAATTTATAATTGACTGCAGATAAGACACTTATAAATGAATGTAGAGGAAATTAAGAAACTCAATTAAAAACTTTATTCCTGAAAGAATCATTCATTTAGCATTCATTATACGTGTCAGGGACTGTGTTCCTCACTCGCGTTCTCAGAGAGCCCCGTAAAGCCTTGCTCATGAGGAGACACAGTGTGACGAGTGGCAGCCGCTGGTGAGAGAGGTCAGCATAGCAGCTATCGGAACATGTAGACAAACTATAAGGATTGCTGATTGCGTGTTGGTTAGTTTAGCATATGACATGGGTTAGTCTACAGATATGTGCCACTTAAAAGCCAATTCTCTAAATATTCTAAAATTTAAAACCACAAAATCAATAAAGTTGAGATAGAGGAGTAAGACCTGGTGTCAGTCCTAAGGGAGTTTGCTCTCGTGGGGTAAGCAGGTAGAAATCAGCAGGTCAAGAACGAGACTAGTTCTGGATTGTGGGTTCACGGGAGACCACTTTAACTTGTCTTTTCTGGTGTCTTCTTGGTGGGTAGTCCCAGAGCGTGCCTAGGACAGAGGAGGAAGAAAGGAGAAAGTGTGCTGGGCATATAAACCATTTCCCCCTCAGCCTCTTGCTTTAACCAGACCTCTTTGGTCTTTACTTTCGTCGGGACTGTATAGTGATTATGCTGACAGGTTGCTTTAGAGGCCACTGTCTTCACCTCAAGCTTCAGGGAGCTTTGCTAGTGGCACACCTATGTTAGCTCTCACTCAAGACTTCCCTTTCACCCACTTGTATTTCCACATATGTCCTTTCCCTTGTCTGTCTTTACTCCTGTAGTTTTCTTTCTCATGCAAACTTTGGGTTCCTAGTAAGACTTTACAGTTCCCAAACCTTGCACTTATATGGAGCTTGCAGAAGGGTGTTTTCTAAGGAAGATGATATACACATAGAAAACAGTTATTCATCTTGGCCCTGTTACAGGCACAATGAAAGATTATTGAGGAATTTTAGTTTTCTTTTAAAATGTATGCGTCTTCATTCATCAGCAGAATAATATTTTAGTGTTTGCCAAATTTCTGGCATGAGATTTAGAATCAGCAAATATCCTTTGCATGCTAAGAATTAAGGAAGTAAGGCTGCCTCACTAACAATTATAAGTTAGCCTTAAGGCTCGTGCAAATAAACTGTTTGAAGCATGAGTACTGGTTATTCTGGCAGCATTAGTTAACATTACTCGAGTGAACTCTTAGCCAAAAAGTGTTGGCTTCATTACTGTAATTAATTGTGATCATACAGCAGATAAAGTATTTTCTAATTAGACTGTAAGAATGACAAGTTAGCTTATGAGTATGATATAGACTAGTTCATTATAGTTTGTTAGAAATTTATTTTCTTCATGAAAAACATTACATTAACTTATAAAACTGTTTTAACAGATAGCATGTAGTAATGTGTGAATAAAATAAAAATTGATTTACAAAAACAGGAGATTAGCCTGTGGCCATAGTATGCCAATTTGATTTTTTAAAATATTGCATTAAAATATTCACCTTGATTACTGAGTCTTTTAATACTCCCTTAAATTTTGCACCTAAGGTGAATATTTCACTTGCCTTACCCTAGTCTTAGCCAGCCCTGGTGGTCTAGTGGTTAAGATTCTAGGCTCTCACCATCTTGGCCCGGGTTCATTTCCCGGTCAAGGAACCACACTACCTGTCTATCGATTGTCATATTGTGGCAGCTGCATGTTGCTGTGATGCTAAAAGCTGTGCCACCAGTATTTCAAATACCAGCAGGGTCACCCATGGTGGACAGGTTTCAGTGGAGCTTCTAGACTAGAAAGAAGGACCTGGCCACCCACTTGCCAAAAAAATTGGCCATGTAAACTCTGTGAGGAGCAGCAGAGCATTGTCCGATACAGTGCTGGAAGGTGAGAGGATGGAGCAAAACGACCAGGCAGGGATCCGTTCTGCTGTGCACAGGGGTGCTAGGAGTCAGAATCCACTCAACGGCACTAACTTACCACCACCCTAGTCTTGGCCCTAATATAATGTCTGTATTTTCTCACAGCCACCAGTCACTAAAAGTCTAGTAACCAACTGTAAACCAGTAACTGACAAAATCCACAAAGCATATAAGGACAAAAACAAATATAGGTAAGTAGTAGATACCTTTTCTCTTTGTTTAGTTTAAGAACAATTACAAGAGACTTCTTTTTAAATTTTATGTGAGATTGTCTTCTTTAGTAATATTGAAATATTAAGTCATTCTGTGAATGTTGGATCCAGTAAAGTTTTATTAAGTGCTTTTCTTACTGAAATTTTGTTTTTCATATCCACGTAAATATTTAAACTCTTTAAATATTTTTTTTTTAATTTTTTGTTTATTGCAGTAACATTGGTTTATAACATTGTAAAAATTTCAGGTGTACATCATTGTACTTCTATTTCTGCATGGACTACATCATGTTCACCACCAAAATACTAATTACAACCCATCACCACACACATGTACCGAATTATCCCTTTCACCCTCCTCCCTCCCCCCTTCCCCTCTGGTAACCACCAATCCAATCTCTGTCCCTATGTATTTGTTTATTGTTGTTATTATCTACTACTTATGTTTTGATAATTAGGTTTGAAATCATGGGAGAAGAAGAAATTGCTTTTAAAATGATTCGTACCAATGTTTCTCATGTGGTTGGCCAGTTGGATGATATAAGAAAAAACCCCAGGTACTGGTTTTTTTTAATTAATAAACTTTATTTTTTAGAGCACTCTTAGGTTCACAGTGAAGTTGAACAGAAAGTACAGAGAATTCCTGTAACTTTAAAAATTATCTTTAATCGTGCAAATAAACATGAATACAAGGCAGTAGGACTAGAGAGAAGGGAGTGACTTATTTCTGTTTGGAGCAGATGTAAATGCCTGAGGTGGAGGTAGTGTTTGAACCAGGGGTTGACTGAGAGACAGGAGTTGCAAGTTGAGATGGGGTCCCCCCTTGCAGAGGGACTAGTACTAACTTCTGAGAGATGGATGACATGATCTGTTCAGTGAGACTGAGAGGCAGACTGCATTGTGGGGAGGTGAGGCCAGACAGCTGGGACTTGCATAGCATTTCTAAGAAGGTGCTTCCAGAAAAGTTGTTTTATCTTTGCAATTCAAAGTTCAGATTAGCTTCTGAGGAAAAAGAAGTACTACCAAAATGTGAAAATTAATCCAGTAAACTCCAGTCATTCTTTGGGGATGAATAAATGTTCAGGTTTACATAAGCCTTGAAAATTTCCAGGCTGGCCCCCTAACAGTTGCCTTAGATAGTTTGATAAAATTGATTAAAATCTGCATTTTTGAGTTTTGAACTTTAGTGGAAATAGTTATTTCATCAGTTTCCTGGAAGACCATGGCATTTAAAATTGAATACTTTTTATCTGATCTTTTACATGCTTTTGAAAGTCTTCAGTTTCACCTCATTTAAATTATGAGTTTAATTATAAATGATCAGAGATGTAAAATTTGTAGACTTTTTAAAGCCATGATATTTTTTTCTAAAAATCCATTCTTGGAGTGGGACAGAAATTGGAATTTTAAGAAAAATAAAAATATCTTTAATGCTTATTTAGTTTATTCAGTAATTCAGTAAATTTTTTTTTCTTTATTTTCTACAAGATAACAAATGTTTCCTCCAAGCCAGGCAAACAATAAGCCGTAATAATTAATAATCATCCAGCTTGCAGCTCTTTTTGCACATGCTGTTCCCTGTGCTTGGAATGCCCTGCTCTAATTTTTTTAAATGATTTAAAGAACCAGTTTCAGTATTTGCTGTTTGCCTCCCCCATTCTGTTGATGTGCTCTCTGGGGCATTAGTGATCTGTAGTTATATCACATGCAAGTTTGCAGTTTTTAGTTGTACCCTATACGTTTATGTCTTTGTGCCAGTTTGCAAGTTGTTGGGTGAGAGAATTCAGACATCTTCCTGGTGCTAAAGGGACAGGGTTTTACTAAAAAGACACAGGGCAAGCCAGCCTTTTCCAGCAGTGTCTGCCAGGCCGGATACTTCTGTGACTCTGAACAGATTTTACTGTTTTTAACTCTTGTTTGTTTATTTTGTTTTGTTTTGCTTTTATGAGGGCTTAGGAGTGGAAAACCAGTCTCTGACTTAAACTTTAAGGATAGGTTTATCCCATTAATGAGGAGTCTGGGATAGGCAGTATCCTATCCTTTTTCTCCGACTGACCTCTTGGCTCTGCTGCCCCCTGCTTGTGTTGGCTTCATCCTCAGGCTGGAGATAGGGTGGCCGCAGCAGTTCTACATGTCCCTGCAGACACAGCCATGTCCAGAGGCAGAAAGGGATTGCCTGTTTCTGTGTGTCGTGTGTTGTTCCCCCATTGCTGAAGGGGAGGGATTCGCTTACACTAGTCAGGAGCTGCCTCTGGGTTGGGGTGGGGTCGCTTTGCTTTGAGTCAGCTCATGGGGGAAGAAATACTGAGCAAAATGCAAGTTCTCTTTGAAAGGAGAGGGAGTGTTTGCTGGGCCCCCAGCAGGGTTTGCTTTAGCTACCCTGTATCCACACACACCTTTTGTCTCATACATATACTTTTTTCTTTAATTTTCCCCAATTTTTTTCAAAAAATTTGAAGATACAGAAAAATTGACAAGAACAGTACAATGAATCCCATAAACCCTTAACCTAGATTTTTAAATTGTCAGCATTTTGTTATATTTGCTTAATCTCTGTCTTCATCTCTCTACACACACACAGGTTTTGTTTTTGTTCTTTTTGGTTTTTTTTTCCCTGAACCATCTGAAAATTAGTTGCAGACATCCAGCCACTTTACTCCTAATTATTTTAGCATATTTTAGCACTTCTAAAACAAAGTCATTCTCCTTTATAGCACAAGACCATTAACACACATCGAAGAACCTTAACATTGACTAAATATTACCATCTAATAGATAGTCTGTATTCAGATTTCCCCAGTTGGCTCTAAATGCCCTGTTTAGCTGTTGTTTATTTTTTGTTTGTTTGTTTTTAATCCAGGATACAGTAAGGCTCATGCATTATATTTGGTTGGTATATCTTGTTAGCATCGTTTAATTTAAAGCAGTCCCCAAGTTTGGAGAATAGATAGGATAATGAAATTTCACATACCCATCATTCATCTTCAATAAGAAGCAGTTTATGGTTGATCTTGTTTCATCTAAACACACCTAGTCCTTCACTACCTCTTCCCGATTATTTTTAAGTAAATCTCAGACATTGTAGTATTTTATCTGTAAATTTTTCAGTATATATCTCTAAATTATAAGGACTCTTTAAAAGTAATCACAATACCATTATTTATTCCTTAATATGATAAATTATCTGGTCAGTGTACACAATTTCCCCAATTGTCTTTTATAAACATTTATGTTTTTTAAGTTTGTTGCTTTGAAGTGGTATCAAGTAAATTGCAGTTAAGTCCTTAGGTTTTCCCCTCCATTTCTCTCTTTTTTTAACCATATAATTTTGTGTGTGTATATATGAAGAAATCCAGTTATATATTCTGTAGATTTCCTACACTTTGGACCTCTCTGATTGTATCCCAGTTGTCTAACATGTTCCTGTGTCCCTTGTATTTCCTGTAAGTTGGTAGTTGGATCTGAAGGCTTTATTAGATTACGTTTGATTTTTTTTTTTTTTTTTTTTTAATTTTAGCAAGTGTACTTCAAAAGTTGGTATTATCCCTACCTATCCTTTTAATGGGCCCTCGGTTTAGTGATTTTTGCCTTGAAGGGAACTTGAAACAGAAGGGAAGCACCACGGTAATCTGCTTTTTGACAGAGCCCTAGCATCTTAGAGCTTGGCTGGAGATATAAGAAGTCACGAAACTCATAGAATCTATAGGTACAGGGCACCATCCATGTCTCAATTATCTATGTGACTATTCTTAGTAATATAACTCATTCAGAGAACTTGGTACTTACTAATTTTTTCCCTGGCTGCTAACAAAATGCTCCAGTCATTTAACTCCATTTATTGAACACTGACCTGGGGATATGTTAAACGGAAATCATTCAATTAATTTACTCCCACAGCTAGAAGGCACTTTGAAGATTATCTTCCCTAGTTCTTTTAGTTTTACAGGTGAGGAGCATCCAAAGAAAAATTTTATGTAAGAACTTGGGACATTAGTCCATTCAAACTATGTTTGGAATCCACATTTCTTATTTTGTTATGTCAGGATCATCCTTGTGATAACCAGTAACCCTGGGTCTCTATTTAATTTCCAGGAAGTTTGTTTGCCTGAATGACAACATTGACCACAATCATAAAGATGCCCAGACAGTGAAGGCTGTTCTCAGGGACTTCTATGAATCCATGTTCCCCATACCATCCCAGTTTGAGCTCCCAAGAGAGTATCGAAACCGTTTCCTTCATATGCATGAGCTGCAGGAATGGTAAGTTTGCGTGTTTCATATACATGTGTGTGTATATTTTTTTTTACAGTGATGAAATTTCTTTAATGTGTTATTTGCCCTATAATTTCTTTGTCAAAATACACTATAGTTTTTATTGAGCTTCATAGTTGAAATATGACTTTTATGGAGCTCACTGGCCAAGCACATCTGAGCCTTATTCACCGCCATCAGAGTAGCTACCCTGGTTCTTGAGTACCTGCTATGTGGCAGACACTGTGCTGGGTAATATATTGACTCTACTCTTTACAGCTAAAGGTACTGTTATTGCCATGTTACAAATGAGAACATAGTAATAGAAGCTGAGTGATTTGTTCAAGGTGAAGCGGCTGATAAGTGGCAAGTCCAGCCTGATTCTCAACCCTCTGCACGTTCCACTGTATTCCAGAGCTGCTTTATAATGTTTCTTAATTTTTTATTTTACTACCATTTCCAATACTTAATGATAAGGATATTTTTCTCTTTGAATTTTGGAAGATTTTTGGCCCCTTACCTGCCACCCCTCTGCCAGGTGCTAGGAATACAAACATGAAGGGAATATGGTACCAGGCTTTGAGGCACTCACAGTTTATTCAGGAAGACAGAGGCCAGGCAAACAGTTGTGATACAGAGTGCCATAGTGTGTTCAATGCTATTACTGGAGTACGGAGGAGGAAGCAGCTAATTCTGTTAAAGGAAGGTGACATTGGATTTGGTTTTAATTATGAAAAGGACTTTTCCAAGTAGGAAAAAGTGTTCCTGGTGGAAGAAATGGCATGTGCAAAGACCCAGAGGTGTAAAAGAGTGCCGTGGGAAGGGAAAGGAGACATTGTGAAGGGCTGTTAGCTGAGTTAGACTTTTTTCTGTAGAGGATGGGGCTCCCTAAGAGAAATTTTTTAGATGGTTGTTGTGATCAGACTTCACGATTTGGAAAGATAACTGACAGTAGTGTGGGGGTTGGACTGGTGAGGGAATTGTCTGGAGCGAGGCATTGTTGTCTAGGAACTGGAGGCAGGGAGACAAGTAATAGCATTTCAGTAGTCCTAGAAACAGACAGTCAAGGTGTGAACCAAGGACACAGCCCAGGGGATAAAGAGAAGGCAGTAGGCAGACTTGGGAGAGATTTTAGAGAGGAAATTAGCAGACCTTGGTAACTGGAACTCTGGTGTCTTGGAGTTGGGTAAGGGAGACAATTAGCATAGATTGCCAGTATCTATATATTTTTATTTTTGTAAGGAGAAATTATTACTAAATCATGGGTCTTGTCATCTAGAAATGGCAAGAAATGTCTTCTCACCATTTTCACTTTCTTTTAGGTCAGAGGAAAAAGATCTTGGGTGGTTCCAAGTGCTAACTCCCCAAATCTAGTTTGTGACTAAATTGACCTTTAAGGGCCCAATTGAATAAGAAAGGAGTGGGCTTAAAAGTAGTTTGAGAGGACTTTGATTTCTGTGTTGTACAATTGAGACAAATCAGGTGTAGGAGGTTTTTTGCAATTCCCTGATCTGGGGGCTGCTTTTTCCTCATCCTGCTCAGTTTCTGCATCATCTCTCTCTGCTGACTCAACAATCCCGCCTACTTCCTAGAAACGTTTCTTTTTCTCATTCCTTTCATGACACTGCACTCTTGAGTCCTCTGTTGCCTTGCCCTGGTCTCCTGCATTGGCTGGCTTCCTGTTCCCCTTTCTTGGGTACAGTGCTTTCTGCACTGTACAGCAGTCTGTCTGATGTGCTTGTCTCTCCTGGTGGACACTGAGCCCTCTACAGGGGTAGAGACGATATCTTACTGGTCTCTGAGTCTATAGTGCCTCCCTACCACATAGGATGGGTAGCTGAGGGAAGCTTGGTTCACCTCCAGCTATTATAGGCTTCTCTGGTTGCTGGGGCAGCTCATTAGCTGTGTGAATGACACTGTAGACGTTAGAACTGACTGAGCTGGTTGTGATCCTGTTAATAGATGTAGGAAAGACAGGAGGAAGAAGAGTGTGTGGGAGAGTACCATTTTGAACACATGACTTGAGGTAGAGACATCCACAACTAGCCATTGTAAATGAGCATCTGAAACAGCACAGAGGCCTGGATTTGGTAGTTATTAGTATATCTTCCAAGCCTTATGTTAAACATTATTTAATCTTCGTAATAAATTATTCATTATTTCCAAATTACAGATGAGGAAACTGCTATACTGCCTCTATTTATCCCCAATATCCGATCTCCAAGTCCAGTAGCTCCAACTCTCAGAATGTCTCCTTGGTTGGTTATTTTCATTCTCACTGCCCTTCATTTTTTTTTCATGCCTGGACTAACTCGACTGCCTGCCTCAGGTCACCTGCTTGTGACATTCATCCTTCAAGTGGCCACCATTTTCACTTTGATTGTGACACATAAACACACACACCTGTCATTTCATCCCTTTTCCCATTGCAGTGTTATGTCCAAACCCCATTGCGTGGTTTTCTAGAACAGTTGCAGTTCATGTGCACGGCCTTTCCATGGCTTAGCTCTCCCTGATGCCGCTGTGCTGGACTTCATTCAGTTCTGCGGGGCTCCGCTTGCTATTCTGACTTTGCTGATGCTCATTCCCTTTCTCAGCCAAATGCTTCTCTCCCCCCTTCACAGCTTAAATGAAATGTCACCATCTTTGTGGTGTTTTCCTGGTTTCTCTAAGTTTTTCCACAAGACTTTGCTTTTCTTAATATATATTTCTGTCCATTTTGTGTGATGGCTAGTTGACTGCATGTCAGTGACTCCCCGGACTTGTAAACACGTAAGAGCAGGGACTTCATCTTGTTCATCTGTCTGTAGGCACAGGAAGTGTTTATTGAGTGACTGAGTGAATAAATCAATGTGAATGAATAAATAAAAATGAATGAAAGAGTGCTTTTGTTTAAATGCTAGAGGTAATTTTCTTAAGTCCTCTTCCGTGCCTGGATAACTGTTACTAATTCAAATATAATATTTATTATGACATAATGAAAAATCTGAACTCATGTTGGAAATATATATTGTGTTAACATTTTAGAATTGCCTCCAGACAATGTTTTTGTGTTTCACACATTGTTTTTGCTAAACTAGTATATTAAATAACTTTAGTGACAGTGACACCATTCAGAGAGCTACATATTTGCTTCCTTTTCTCTCTGAACAGGAGAGCATATCGAGACAAATTGAAGTTTTGGACTCATTGTGTACTAGCAACATTGATTATGTTTACTATATTCTCATTTTTTGCTGAACAGGTAAGTTTTTTATATTTTATGTGGGGATCACACTATTTCTTGATATTAGCATCTGATTCTTTTAGAAAATGATATAAACTCATAAGAAAATTTTTGTTTCTTTTATTGTCTTATAGTTCATATGTCAATATGTCAAATAGATGTCATATATTCAGGCAGCAAACACAGTAGCCGTTTAAATTCATTTATCTTCTAAATCCGTTACCAGTATTCTTTTTACCTGGAACTCGATAGATTAAGTTGCAGGCTTCAAGCTAAAACTGAAAAGCTATAAGTATTTTTAACCAAAAAAGACCCAGAATCCTCATCTGATCCTGATTTTTTATGGGTCTCCAATTTTATTCTTTCTTATAACCTTTCTAAAAGTGACCACAGTGTCTGATTTTCAGACCTCCTGCTGTTCTGTAGATGGTGCCTGGTAGAGTCTCCCACTTACATTTCCTTTGAATGGCTGGGAGTTCTTCTCATGCAGGCCCACACACAGCCTGCTGCAGGTGAGGGTCCAGAAGTAGGAGAGAGATTTGTGAGGTGAAAAGAGAGGGATAAGAGAATCCTTATTAGGCTGCAGCTATGAAATGCTCTGAAGAAAAAGGATAGAAGAAGGAAGGAAACAGTGTCTGGGCTGACCTGACTTGTGAGGGGCAAGTGAACCTTGCCTCAGCCTCCATTCGAGGTGACTGTTGAGTGGAGCTTTTCTAGCTGTCACTTATGGGAAACTTACACTGAGTTTACTTACACAAGGAGGAGGAGGAAGAGGCCGAAGTACTGAGAGCTTTAGGATAAACAGAACCTGGGCTTCCTGCTGCAGATGCAAGGAAACTCAGGAAATGGAGATGGGGCAGGGAAGCAGGACTGCAGTTGAACCTTCATCTACTTCCCAGGGAATATAAATCTTGTTCTTGATATTTGTTGCCATTGTTCCTGGCAGATAAAAATCTTAGGAAAAATTCTTAAAAAGACTACCTGCTTTTAGGACAGGAGTCCAGTGAGGAACCCATGAGTCAGCTGTGTGCTGGCCTGTGATGGGGAAGGAGAGGGACCCTAGCTGAAAGGAGCAGCTGGTGGCAGTAGAAGGGAACAGAAGCATCAGCCTTCCATCTGTGTAGTTTACACCAGCAGAGATCAGGGAACCAGAAAGGCAGGAGGAGGGAGAAAGGAAGGGAAGAATAAATCCTCTCTCCTCTGGCACCTTGCTCTTCACCTACTTGAATCAAATTCCTTAACCTCTGCCGTGCTCAGAAACAAACCTGCCAACGCTGCGTCTTCCTCTGCCACAGACTCCCAGCTCTTCATTCACACCGCGGTGGCTTATGCTTGGGCAAAGCCCTGCTTCCACCCTGAGATGGATTCCAAATTGAAGCCATAAAGAACATGCATGTTTTTCTCATTGAAACTTTATTATAATGATGGTTGGGTTTTCTATTTCAGATATATTATCTGAATACATAAACTATTTATGTGAGGAAAAAAAGCTATCCAGGTTCTAAGCTACTAATTTATAAATGAGCTTTCACATTACAACCCATTCGTAAATTGGGTATTACCTGTATTTTCAAATGATTATTGCTACGGTTAAGTATAGAAAAAAATGTTTATAGGATTTTTAATACATGGTTTTAGTTTTTTTTTTTTTTTGTCAGGAAGATCAGCCCTGAGCTAACAACCATGCCAATCCTCCTCTTTTTTCCTTTTTTGCTGAGCAAGACCGGCCCTGGGCTAACATCTGTGCCCATCTTCCTCCACTTTATATGGGACGCCGCCACAGCATGGCCTGACAAGCGGTGCGTTGGTGCGCGCCCGGGATCCGAACCTGGGCCACCAGCAGTGGAGTGTGCGCACTTAACCGCTAGCCACAGGGCCGGCCCCTGGTTTTGGTTTTTTTAAAGACTTTTATGTATGTAGTCATTTTCAAACCCAGGGACAGTGGTCTTAAAGGCTAAACAGAGCCAGTGTCCTTCAATAGAAGGACTTGACAAACAGACATCTTGAAAATAAATATGCTTGGGTAATCTCTGTGTACAGATCTGTAGTTATAGGTCTTAGAAAAATGAAGCTTAGGCCAAAATAATTTTAATCCTCATGGATCTCCTGTGGGCACATATCTTGGCATATTGACCCTATGAAGCCAAATGAAATTAGTGGTTGTTTTTGTTTTGGGGGAGGAATGATGGAGACTTGTTTGCTGTTTTTTATGTATAAGACTGTGGAAATGATTAAGGTCATAAGGCTGTCCGAAAGAAGGTTTAATATACTTATACTCTTTTGTCAACGTGGGGAATTAAAATTTATTTTCTATCTTTCATCAGTTAATTGCACTTAAGCGGAAGATATTTCCCAGAAGGAGGATTCACAAAGAAGCTAGTCCTGATCGAATCAGGGTATAGAAGATCTTCATTTGAAAATCATCTACCTCAACATTCACTGAGCATTTTAAAACTCAGCTTCACAGAGATGTCTTCATGATACGATGCTTAGCCAGCCTGGCCTGAAGAAGGAAAATCATCCAGTACAATACTTGTTTTGTGGCGTGAATATAGCTTACTGATCAGGAATTGTTTAAGCAACACACTGAAAACTTGTATACTGATCAGCTCTGAACTCGTTTTACTTTTAAAGCATTTGCTCATGGACCTGTCATTCTTTTAATGAAAAGGCTCACTGAGGAGAGACAGCTGAGCTAACATCTGCCAATCCTCCTCTTTTTTTGCTGAGGAAGACTGGACCTGGGCTAACATCCATGCCCATCTTCCTCTACTTTATATGGGACGCCGCCACAGCATGGCTTGACAAGCGGTGTGTTGGTGCGCGCCCGGGATCCGAACCGGCGAACCCCAGGCTCCCGCAGCGGAGCATGCACACTTAACCGCTTGTGCCACTGGGCTGGCACCCCATTGCAACTCTTGCCAACTAACTTTAACCCGAGAAGCCTAGGCTCACTTGGGAGCAATTGCTAAGAGACTCCAGTCTTTGCATTCCAAAGCTTTTTGCTATGGTTTTACATTTTTGGTTTTTTTTTCTTTTTTCTAGTTCTCATTTTCAAAATAAGTAGTTAATAAGTTAACTAGTTATTCTTGCATCTGAAAACAATGAATTAGGATGTCTAAACATGTTTTGATAGATGTTATTTAAATAATGCAGCAATATCACCTCCTATCTGCAATATCTAAATTATGGATTTTATTAATGTTTAAGGCTATAAGTGGTCTTAAACTACTTACAACTACGGACGAGCTCAGTGACTGATATTTGAAATACTTTGTGTTTGCTTCCCTCAGCCCCTAAGAATCTGTGATTTCATGTAGAGGCCTAATTACAAAGGGCTGGAGTTACGTAGCAGAGCTACTTCCCAGATGTAATTATGTTTTGGAAATGTACATATTTAAATAGAAGTGCCTCATTTTAGAAATGAGTAGTGCTGATGGTACTGGCACATTACAGCAGTGTCTTCTTTAATACTTGTCAGTATATTCCAGTAGCTCTCTCTCTCAATCCGTTTCATACAATGCAGGGGTCAGTAAACTTTTCCATAAGCCACATAGAAAATATTTGCAGGCCACATGTGTCTCTGTTGCATATACTTCTTTGTTGTTTAGTTTTTTTTTTAACAATCCTTTAAAAATATCAAAACCATGTTTAGCTTGCAACTGTACAAAAACAGGCCACTAGCTGGATTTGGCCCACAGGCCATTGTTTGCTGACTGCTGGGACAGAGAATGAGTATTTTTATGTATGGGTAAGCCCTGATGTTCAGCCATATTTTGTCATAATACAGTGGATTTCTGGAGACCAGGTTCCATGAGTCCTTTTTGAACTCTGAGAGGTATTTTAGATCATGATCTCAACAGTATTCTTTCAAAATGGCATACATATTTTGTAAAAAGAACTTGAAATGTAAATACTGTGTTTGTGCTGTAAGAGTTATGTATTTCAAAAACTGAAGTCTCATAAAAACTTACATTTTGTCTGATGCTTTGATTTTTAAATCTTTGAGGAGAGAGTTTATTGTTATCCAGATTCAACAGTCATTTGAGTGCTTATATACAGTTTGTCAGGGTCAGTGCTAAACATTACTGAAATGAAATGGAAAGTAGTGTAAGGAGAGGGTAATATTAAAACATACTGGAGAATGTCACTTTATGGGGGGAAAATAAGTTCAAAAAGGGGATTTATCATATGGTAAAAATTCAGGGGGTGTGTGAGTGTCCTTCTAAAAATGAAGAATTTATTCTAGACAGGTTACAGAGAAATGAACATTTGGATATAATGGCGATTTCTATGGTTACATGAATATAGTCCACATCTAATTAGCTGCTTAATTGATAATGGGATGGATAATAGAATCATAGAATATTCGGAGAATCATTCATCTAATGAGAATCATTAGAACAGAGGAACCTTAGAAGTTGAGTAGTCAAATGGTTTAAAAAATTTTAAAGCTTCTGAACCATTAGTTCAAATGAAATCCTATCAAAGGCCAGGATATAATACAAAAGAAGGAAAGCTGCTCATCCTGCCTGACCCCAAGGTGGTGCCTCCAAACTCCCAGGCGCCACAGGCAGAGTTTCTGCATTTTGTCATTGAGGACACCAGGGCCAGGAAGATTACTGGCTTGTCCAAGGTCTCACAGCCAGTTAGAGGCAGAGGTGGGTTGGAGCCCAAGTTGTCAGTCTCTTTTTCCCATCCCCACCAGGCCCTGCTGCCTCTCCATGACATAGTGACACGTGCTGGTGAAGAGCACAATCTCTGTAGTCAGACTTCTTGGGGTTGGAGTCCTGAATCCTAGACATGGTTTGCTACAATTCAGCTTTGTCCTCTAAAATGTGGGAGGCAATACTGGTGTCTACCTCATAGGCTTATGGTGACAATTAAAGGAAATGACATGTGTAACACACCCACCACAGAGCCTGGCAAATACTCCTGCCTGATAAATGTCAGGGATGATGATGGTAGTGATGAAAGTTTGTATAAAGGATTGTTATCCAGGTAAGGGGTGAGGTTGCTAGTGTACTCATTAGGGTGAAATGATTACATTACCTTTAGCTAAGAAAGTGACACATTTTCTAATTTAAAAAAATTGTTTTGCCTAATTCATTTCTTCAGAAGTGTTTATTTTAAAAATTATTTCTACACATACCAAAGAGTATACAAATAACGACCAACAGATCAAGAATTTACAAGTGAAGTGTAATCACAACTCAGGTCAAAACATTTAAGGAAGAAACCACCAGCCCCACAAAAATTCCTCCAGAGTGTAGAAAAAAGAAGGAAAACACCATCTAACTTGTCCCTTGAGGCCAATACAACCCCACACCAAAGCCTGGCTAAGTTACCATAGAAAGGAAAACCTCAGGCCATCTACCACATAAGAATCCCAAACGAACTCGAGCAAGCTGGATTCAGTTATTCCCCCAACGAGCAACACTTTATGATCAGGCTGAGTCCACTCCAGGCCCAACACCTAAAAATCGATGGAATTCACATCAGTAGGACCAAAAAGAGAAACCGCATGATAATCTCAATGGACCTTTCTTTCTTTAAAAAAGATTATTATGAAAATTTAAAAATAGAGAGTCTTAGCATAATGACTTCCCATCTGTTCAACAGTTATCAAGATTTTGCCACCTTTGTTTGCTCTATTTTTATTTTTTTTGTGGATATATTTTAAAGTAAATCCCAGACTAAATGGAGACAGAAGTACAGGGGAAGTAAAGGGGCTTCCGTGTGCTATATGCACAAATCTAACTCAACCTGCTCAAGGAAAAAACAAAGTGGGGTGCAAAAGATGGACACCCTGCCAGGCCTGTCACTCAGCACTGCCTATCCCTGCCTGTCTCTGCTTTTCTCTGTCAGCTTTTCTCCTCATGGTGGAGTTGTGGCAGCTCCTCACTCACATCCCCCCAGAGAGGCAGGAAGCTTCCTCTCTGGCTCCAATTTAGAAAACCCTGGAGGAGGTGAGTTACTATGATTGGCTCACTCTAGGTTCTGTGCCCATTTCTGTGGCCACAGAGATGGGGATTTTTACCAAAAGAGGGAGGGGAGGGGTGCTGGGCCAACAAAAACACTCCAGCTTCACAGAATAAAGATTGGGTGTACGTGGAAGACCAAGTTCCTGGATTAATTACTCAAGTTGAAGGCAAGCTGTCATACTTGAAAGCAATTGGGAAAATCAAATCTGTTGATTAGAATACAGTGAACCTTATAAACTTTTCATTATTGAAAAGATTCAAAGAAATGTTTGTAAAGCATTAGTCAGTACCTGCCACATAAATGCTCCATAAATGGTTCACAGTTATGGTTATTATAGTTTGAAATTGGTCCCAAGTTATCTTTCTGATCTTCCTTCTGCTTCTCCTCCTCTGCCAGGTGCTTGGTCACATCCTGTGCCAACCACGTTGCATTTCCCAAAACGTGCTGTGCACTTTTATGCCTCTATACCATTGCAGATGCTGTTCTTACTGCTTGACTTGTCTCTTCCTTCCTTATCTATCTGTTAAACTCCTATTCCTACCTCCGTCACCAACAGTTCATCTACTGAGAAATTTTCTAAGAGATTATATATACTTGAGTTCTTTGAGATGATGAATAAGGAAATAAAGAATAATAATTAGGCTTTCAAGCAACTTTGACAGGATTCTACACCACAGTTACTAAAGAAAATGAGAAAACATTTTGTCAGGAATACAGGTAATTAGAGGGAGTAAATGGGCAATGATATATATGGAGTATTAACAATGTGGTCTGCTAAGAATTAGCACTGAGACTTGAACTAGGCTGTCTGAAAGTGCGATCAAAGTCGAAAGTCTGAAGCTTTTGTTTGCCAAATCTTAATTAAAAGAGGTAAAATATGATTAAAAACAGGAAAAAAATTGCAGAGCTGGTAGCAAACTAAGGCAGGTACAAAAGTTGAAATATATTTTTAAATTATTTTGGGGAAAATACATATATGCACAGAAAAGAGAATGAAAGGAAATAATATCCAAAATTTAAAATTGTGTATTACCTGTTGGTAGTGAGATTATGAGTGAATTTTATTTCCTTCATGAATTATGTATTTATCTTCTAAAACTTATTTTTCAATGGATATTTATTACTTTTATAACCAGGACAATTTAACAGTAAATTTTAGGTAAAATTATACTGACCCTTATTAAATTTTTAGTGGAAAGTAGAATGCTTTTTACTAGCCAGCCCCATAACTTTGAAAATCCATAAAATGCCTTTGGTTTAGTCATTCCCCTTTTTGTGTTTTTATTTAGTTGGGTAAGGATTAAAATTTGGAACTTGAATATAGATGAGTTCTCATTTGGAGCTAGAAAAATCAAAGGGTCATGACATGCAATCTTGATTATTCATAGGGCAGATAATTCATTCATATCCTTTGTTCCTTATTTCCTTCCTGTTTTTCACATTTTTAAGTTTCCTAACGTTTGAGAAAATAAGGCAATAGCATTAGTTAGTCACCAGACAGAGATGTTGAGCTGTCCTTGTTAATGTGACAAATCAAGT